CTTAGGCACAGACACCCAGAGAGATGACCGCGTGAGGACACAGGTCATCTACCAGGCGAGGAGAGAGACTTCAGAGCAAACCAACCTTGACCTTGGACTTGTGCCCTCCAGGATGGTGAGACAATAAATATCAATGGTCAAAGCCACCCAGCCTGCTACCTCCCTATGACAGCCCAAGCAGACTAATCCCTGCACCTGCCAGTATCAATTCCAACCTGCCACTTTTGTGCATCAGAACCTGCAATTTGTCCTCAGCATCTTAGCATTTTGTTCAAAAAAGACAAACATCGTGTCATCTTTCCTCACTTGAACTTCTCCTTCACCTCCAGTCTAATCTACGATGAGCACCTTATTGTCTACCATCTGGTTCTCTGATCACCTGGGCCACCACAGTGTAACCTGCACTGGCCTCCATTCACTAGCATATCTCTCGTCACCAAGACCACCGGCCTCTCCAAGGTAAGGACTCCTTCTGTTCTCACAGCACCCCTTCTCAGCTGGACACTGGGGTCATAAGTCGTACCTGTGCAAAAGCAACCACTGGCTCTTTACATTGAAATGGGTTGAGGATATAGCCCAGTTGGTAGAGTGTTTGCCTCGAATGCACAAGGCCCTGGGTTCAAACCCCAGCACCACCAAAAAAAAAAAAAAATGTACTCACTCTTCACCTTAAACCTTGCTCTTATGTCCTCTCATTCCAATAAGAACAGCCACCATTAAAAAAAAAACAGAAAAAGCATCAAGTGGTGGCAAAGATGCACCATGGAAATTAGTACAGACATTATGGCAAACAGTACTGAGGTTTCTTAAAAAAATAAAAATAGAACGACCATGTGATCCACAATCCCATTACAATGGTTATCAATTCAGAGGAATTAAAATCAGGAAGTGTGTTTATCACAGCAGCCAAGATTTGGAATGCATGCAAGTGTCCGTGGACAGGTGGATGGATAGAAATGCTTGATGTGTATATGATAGAATATTAGTCAACCCTAAAGAGTGCAATTCTGTCATTTGCAGCAATGTGGATGGACGGGAGGACATTGTGTTAAGTGAAATAAGCCAAGCAAAGAAAGTCAAATCCTGCATGTTCTCACTCATATGTGGAAGCTAAACAAGTGGCTCTCACAGAAGCAGAGAGTAGAATAAAAATTACAGAGGCTAGGGAGGTGGGGGTTGGGGACGGAGAGGGCTAGTCAACAGCTACGAAAACAGAGGGGAGGGTTAAGTTCTAGAGTTCTGCAGCACAAGGGTGACTATAGTTAAAAAAAAAAAATTACTGTGGTTTTTAAATTTTTGAGAATATTCCCAGCACAAAGGAAAGCTGTTTGAAGTGATGGGAAAGCTAATCACCCTGAGGCAGTCATTTCCCATTGGATATGTGTATCAAAACATCATGCCATACACCATAAATACACAGTTATTAAGTATCAATTTTTTAAAAACAACCTACCTCTTATTGATCACTGAATTCCTCTTGCTGTCAGTGGTCCGAAAGCCCGCCCATATTTTGATGCAAAGTTAGGAAATGTGTCTCTGTATATTCTCGCCACTTGTGTTCCAACTTAAAAGTGTTTTTGAATGTGAAGTGTGTTGTCCTCTTTGGAAATAAGAAGCAGCGTTTCCAGCTGGGACTCTGCTACTCTGGTTACTAAGGAGACCGGTTGGATGTAGGAGCCATAATTAATAAGTAAATCAAGGCCTCCTGGACCCGGGAGCGAGATGCTCCCTGCCTCGAGAGGGAAGATCGCTGGGTGAGTGGAGAGCGTGGAGGTCCACGTGGGAGGTGGGTCTGGCTGCCTTCTCCCCTGGCTCATCCTCCCTGGAGATGTCTGAGGACCGTGCTAAGACCCTGCTCCTTCTCCTCCAAGTGCACCTGCGGAAACTGATGGAGTCACACTCTGTCCCCCAGCACGGGCTTTTCTGTTGCCACAGGAAGACAGGCTGCTGTGGGCAAGAGCGAACCTCTGCCCCCTCGGAATAAATCCGACAGTGTGACCTTCCCGCCAACTATTTCAACAAGTGCATCTTGTCAAAGAGCAGAGAGCAGCTGGCCCCTCCCTGACCAGTAAACAAGCCAAAGGGAACCTCCAGGTCTCCGGGCGCTCAAGGTCTTCCCAGGATCCCAAGGTTCTGGCCCTTTCTAGTATTCTAGAAGCACATGCTTTCCTGTGGGGCAGGGCTCAGCGCCTCCCCGCTCTCTGTCACAGGACACAGCCTGGCACGAGATCCGCCTCAGCACTTCCAGACCACCAAGTTCCATTCCTCCACTTAGCGAGCGAGGAAAGAAAGGTTCAGAGAAATGGCTTCTCACTCTTGCTTTTTCTTTCCCTCAACTGCAAGGGTAGAAAATCAGTTGCTACCAAACATCCCAGGGATGACAGGTAGGTCAAGGACATCGTGTAGGATGATTCTCCCTTGACGGGACCGAAAATCCAAATGAGTAGCTTCAACAAAAACATGGAAGGTTTTAAGTGTTTGGTTTTAGGTTTTGGGGGGGGGGGTTGTTTTTGGTTTTGTTCTTGTTATTTTCATGATATTGGGGAGTGAGCGCAGGAGCACTCTACCACTGAGCCACACCCCCAGCCCTTTTTATCTTTTGAGACAAGCTCTCACTAAGTTGCCCAGGCTGGCCTTGAACTTGCTATCCTCCTGCCTCAGCCTCCCAAGTCACTGAGGATACCAGTGGGCACTGGCACGCCCAGCGTGGGTTGACGTTTCTGATGACCTCGATGAATGGGATCTGTATAGCTGTCCCCTTTTGCCCTGTGACCTGGCTCTGGACAGCCTGGCGATGGCCTTCAGCCAGTAAATGCAGCCAAAGACAAGGAGCCCCTGCACCGAGGCCTGGGGAAGCTCTGCTCTGTGCTCTCTCCCTTAATGACTGTTTGCTCCTGCTGCACCTCGGCCTTGCCCAGGCAGCATGCTGGGAGCCGGGGAGGAGAACCAACACAGCCCCACTGCAGAAGCCTGAGAGCCCCGGTGAGAGCAGAAAGTCTGAAGAATGAGCCAGACGAGGGGTTTGTTGTTTAAGCCTCTGGCTTTGGTGCAGCTTGATATGCAGCAATTCGTAACTGAGGTTTTACTGATATCAGAAATGAATGCTTGCAATTTTTTTCTCAAAAGAGAGAGAGAGACAGAGAGAGAGAGATAGATATGATTGAAATCTAGGGTTAATGTGGTAGTTTCATCATCATAGGGGACCGGAATCCTTCTATCTTTATGCTCCATCATCCTTAGCTCTCATCCTCAAAGGTGTCTCATGATCCAATGTAGCTGCTAGAGCTCCAGTCAACAGATTTGTATTCCAGGAAGGAAGGAAGGAGGGAAAAGAGAAGGCCTCTTCTAGCTGGGTTAGCTTCCTTTAAAAGAACCTTCCTAGAGGACCCATCCAAGGACTAGTATCTTGATTCCCATTGGCTCCTTCAGATGACCAGGAAATGTACCAGTCTTTTAGCTGAGCACTTGGCCCCCTAGAGTAAAATCAAGGGTCGTGGTTAGTAAAGAAGAACCAGGAAATGGGTATTCACTAGGTAACCAGCACAATCTGCAGAGGAATGTGTGAGAACAGACTCCAGACCTCAAACCCCAAAATACATGGGGATGCAGAACAACCCACGTCATGCAGAGAACAGGCAGGTTTCCCAAAAGGCTCGGAGCGGTAGCCTTGATGTGCTGGGGAGGAGGGTAGCATCGAGGCAACGACAGCCACAGAGGAGTCGGGAGTGCCCTGATCTCCTGGGCCCTTTCRCTGTGAACACAGGCACAGAACTGTGGTTCCTAACGGGGGCGATGCTTTCATCCTTTCTGCTTCCTTTTTATTGAGATATAATTCCCATCACTTCAAATTCACCATTTAAAGTGGGAGGGATTTAGTATCTATTGTACAAACGCCAGCACAATCTAATTCCAGAGTGTTTCCATCACACTAAAAAGAAACTCTGTACCCATTAGCGGTCAGGGCAGATTCTACCCTTCATCCTCCCCTACCCCGTCCCAGGTCCACAAAAGAGCAGTACTTGCCCCTTGAGTGAACGCTGCTCTTCTTAGACGACACAGGCTCAGGCCCTGGGCTTCTGAGATAGATCAGAGCCTCTTGGGAAAACCAAGGACAAGGTCACAGTGCAAGTCACCCAAGTCGGAGTCTCCAGGGATGCTCCAGGATGTGAGCACTGCAGCCCGGGCTGCCTGGGCATTGCCTCCTGCAGTCTGCTTCTCCGCCTGCCCTGCAGCAGAAAAGGAGGCTCCATGGCCCGCCCGGAGCCGGACACCTTCAACAGCTTCCGGGCCCCTACACCCCAAGGTGCAGAAGCCGCTGGCCAAGCCCCTTGTGACCTGCTCTGGGAGGCGTCTAGACTCAGGGTACCAGTTAGTGTGGAGAGGGGGCGGGGGAGAGCGCAGCGCTAGATTCGCCAAGGGCCTCATTGTCCCCCTCTCCGCTGTCCAGGAGGACCACACCCATTTCACAGAGGAGGGCCTGAGGTTGGCACAGAGGAGGGAGAATTTCCGACACTCCTGTCTGAGCCCCGGCTGCGCTTTGCACTGCGCCACGCTGTGAGCACCTGTGGGAATGCCTCCTGACCCCGCTGTGCAGGTGGAGACACCTCCGCCAGTGGCCTGGCCCTTGCCGCCTGTAGGGCCCTGACATTGGGAGGGGGCTTGGCTTAGCTCAGCCCKGCTCCTGGGAGCCCTGGGAGCCGGTGGGAGCTTGGCTGAGCTCTTCCTCCCTCTGCCTGCTGCCTGCTCTCCACTCCTCAGGCAAAAAGGTTGCTCAAGGAGACTCCAGGATTGGGGTCTGCCTCATCATCGCTGCCGCCAGGAGTCTTTCCCTCCGACTGACTTGCCAGAGCTCCCGTCAGTCCTCGCAGTGCCTCTGGAAGAAGGGGAAGGCAGCCGAGGGATCCTGGCTGCACCGAGCCCAGGTGAAGCAGGCTGGAGCCTGGGTGGATGGGGGCAGGCATGTCACAGGTCTGCTGGCGGAGCCGGGGGGAGGGGGACCGCAGGAAGGACGGYAGGTTGTGCTGTCTGGTTGATGAAGGGGGTCAGCGTGTGTATGTGTCATCGAGGTGGGCAGGGAAGGGGAGGGCTGTGCGTGGGGGAGGATATATATGCTGGTGTGGCTGACACGGAGGAGCCCAGCTCACATCCGAGGGAGCCCTGCGACTGACAGCTCTCAGGTAGGCAACTGCATGCGGCCCCCAGCCCCGACCGTGACCAGCTGCTGGAGTCTCCCGAGAGCAGGGCAGCCCGGGCTGGCTCCTCCGCCCCTGTCCTTTGTCCAGTGTGGCTGCTGCTGGCCTCTCGTGAGATTATTTCTTCATTCATCTGCTTTCCAGCGCTCAGATGGTGGGGAAGGGGGAGGGCTGAGGGTTTCTCATCTTACAGAGGCATGCAGAAGAAGAAAGCTGAAACTTGCAAATGAGGAAAAGTTTTGCTTCCCCAGTTGTGGCCCCGACTTGGTGGTGGCTATCTGTTGAGAAGAGGTGGCTGCAGGAATGGGGTCAGGCGAGGAGCAGCACTTGGAGGGCGCTTGTCTCTGGGGGCAGCCCCCAGAGAGCCCCTGGTACCCGCCGAGGAGAGGTTCTCTCTCCGTGTGGCTTTCCTTCTTCCCTGGTGTTGCGTTCAGGCTGCTCCAAAGGCATCACTGAACTTCAAGCCATTTGGCTTCGAGTTCTTAGTCTGGAGGGAGCCCTTCTCCCTTCCACCCTGCATAGAATCATCACTAATGATGCGGGAAGAGTCAGATCTGCAGGTTTGCTCCACCTGTATACACTGCCGAAGCCGTGGCTGTGAGTGAATTTCCTAGAGCATGTCGGCAGGCTTGACCTTGGTCTCCCAGACCCTGCATCCTTCCCAGGTCTCCTTTCCTTCTGGGCATTGTTCCCCTCCTGCCCGGGTCCCTGCCCAGGGCACGTGGAATACTCCATTCACAAGTCGCAACAGAGAAACTCTCGCTGCTGGCTCTCAGCCTCATCTTTCTCCTCCTCTCTTTGTGCGTCTCCTTTCCCCTCCCTTCGCCACCCTCCCCTCCTCCCCTCCTCCCCTCCTCACTCAGAACGGGCAAGTTCTGGGGGAATTTCAAGTAAGGCAGGATGATTCGGGGAAGGGACTATTTAGAGCGAGCTGCTTTGGACTTGAGTACCCTGATCCTGGGCTCCAACATCTGCGTTCGGCTTCCTCGAGCAGCCCATAATTGTCCCAATTATAACCAGTAACATTGTTCGGCAGACTAACAAAAGATGAGCTTTGCACGGTGTTTGCCAGCAAGCCCAAATCAGAGTTTTCAACACAGAGAGAAAAAAGTAACTGCCTGGCTTCTTATTCAAAACCTCCCAAAGACAACACTGCTCCTTCTCCCTGCCTGTGGGTGGCTGCTGCACRCACCCCTTTTCCTCATTTATGAAGTCTGGCAGGGACATATTCTACAAGCTTCTCTGATGCCATGATACCAATAACAGAAAGAATTCGGGTTCCTTGGGCTGGTGGAGTCTTCGGCAGGGGCAAACATCCAAACTTCACCTTAGTAAAAGCATCAGCTTAAAAAAAAAAAAAAAAAAAAGCATCAGCTTTGGTTTTCCTTATGTGGCCTGATGCCTCCTGTCCAGGACACTGTGGTACAAGCCTGGGGTGCAGTCCTGTTCCCCAAGGGGCACTAGCCCCTGCTTTATCAGCTGAAGGTTCTTAGGGATTTAGAAAATGCGGGAGGTTTTGCATTGCCAATGAAGGGAGTAATTGCAGGATTAAGCTCAGACCCAAGCTCCCAGGAGCCTGAGAYGGGAGCTGTCACCAAGCTATTCCATCTTCAATCAATCAGGTATTTATCAGCTACATCCCACCAGGCAGGGAGGCACTGGGTCTCTGTAGATTCAACAGGGGTGATAATAACAGCACTTGACACTGTGCAATGATTTAGGTGCTTTCACACCCATTATCCAGCCCCAGCTCTGGGAGATGGAGTCATTATCTCAGAGTTCGCAGTTGAAGAAACAAGCCGAGAGAGGTCCGATGATTTGTTCAGCCAGTGGCCCAGACAGGGCTGAGTGCAGCTGTCCTGGCTCTGGCACACGTCCGTCCCCTTTACAGTCAGGGGTGTTATGAACTAATAGCAGGGACACAACACAAACACACCCAAACAATTAGAGGACAGTGTGGGGCTGCATGCAATTAGCCCCAAACTGCAGAGCACAAGTGCAGAGGAGGTTAGGGAAGAGATGCTTCCTCTGAGGATTTTTCTTTTCTTTGGTACCAGGGATTGAACCCAGAGGTGCTTGACCACTGAACCACATCCCCAGCCCTTTTTTATTTATTTATTTATTTTTATTTTAAGACAGGGTCTCCCTAAGTTGCTTAGGGTCTCACAAAGTTCCAGAGGCTGGCCTCAAAATTGAGTCCTCCTGTTGTAGCCTCCAAAGTCACTGGGATTACAGGCAGGCACCACGGCTCCTAGCTTCCTCCGAGGATTCTGAGGAKTCTAACTGGGTTGGGAAAGGGTGGGATTTGGATGGATCAAGAGCTTTAAGGAGGAAGGTGGCAGATGGGACAAAAGCATAGAAGGAGGGCAAAGAGATTACTGTTTCTTGGAGCCTACTGTAAGCCAGGCAGAGAGCTTGTCTACATGCTTGTTTCATGCCAAGAACATCCACGTAGGAAAGAGAAGTCCAGATGTGCTCTCCAGGCTTGCATGACACAGTTCAGTGGTTCTTCACTCCCAGCCCCCAGAGCCCACGAGGGACCTTGGAATCTTGTGTGTTCTGAATTGTGGGCTTTGCTGCTCATCAGGAATCCTAGGAAAGGCTTTGGCCCCTTCTCAGAAAACAGTCATCCATCATGTCAATCGTTTATAGCAGCTTGAATTGCTGGGAGCTCATTAGGCAAACTGGATTTTTTTCAAACGCTTTTATTTAATGCTACAGTTGTTCCCACTCTCTAACATAAAGGCTTCCTTCTAACCCACCAGCTTGCTGGGAAGTTTGGGGTACACCAATTTGGGGAGGTGGGGTGGCCATCTTCCATGCAGCTGCAATCACTTTCCTTCTGGACTTTCTGTGAACCCCCGCAGCTGCTCTGGCGTTGCAGAAGCAGGAGCTCGCCAGCCCTCAAGGGGCCGGCCTGGCTGGTGACGTGCGTAACTGGCCTGGCCACCCCACTGCCAGGACTCTGCTTTCTGCAGAGGCTCGGTGCCAAGCCCCCCTCTGCTCACACTGGTCCTGCGATCCTCCCCACCCCCACCCCCATTCATCTTTTCATTCATCCAGCCAGAACGTGAGTGGAGTTCCCCAGAGGAGCCGCGAGGAGCAGTGCCGGACGCACAGCCTGCGGAGTCCTCGGTTAGCTCCGACTCAGTCCATGTCACAAAATGCGCACAAGCTAGGCCAGCTGTCTCCAAAGGGGCTCGGCTGCCCAGCTACCTACTGRGTTCCCAGAAATGGAGACGTTGATTTTGTTTGATCTTTCCTTTTGGAATTAGCGCTTTAGTGAATTTTTATGATGTGTATAATTTGTGAATAAATAAATTGGGAATGTATGTTCAAAAGTGACTGCTCTGGTGGGGTAACTGTGGTTCATGGCAATTATTAATTACTTATTTCAAAATAGCTAAGAGAGAGGGTTTTGAATGTTCCCAACGCTAAAGAATGAGAAATGTTGGAGATGACAGATCTGCCAATTATCCTGATCTGACCATCACAGGTTGTGTACATGTACTGAAATGTCACAATGCACCCTGTAAATACGTACAATTATTTTGTCAGCTAAAGGTTTTTTTTTTCTTTTAAAAACTGCTTGTTAAAGGTATAAATTTAAAACTTGAAGATTGTTCTACAGTTATTGTTCTCTTATCAATATTTTCCAATTTTTTCAAAAAGAACATCGAGTTTATAAAAGTAAATAAAAGCTTTTAAAAGTCCATTTAAATTATCTTGATGGTACATGTGGGAGCCAGAACCAGGAAGATGAAAGTCTAGAGTGCTTCCTTCCACTTTGTAGCCGCCACAAAGGCACATGCTCTAGGGCCCTTGGCGGCCCTTCCTGAAACCCCCATCCCCTGCTGCCCTGTGAAGACCTGTTTCTTCTGCCCCATCCCTCTTTCCTAACTTGTCTTACCAGGGTAGGTCAAATATCTGGCCATTCCGAGAATCAAWTATTAACCAACTAGTTCAGCTGCCTCTCTTACAGAAGGAGAGGCTGAGGCCCAGAGAAAGAAAGACCCTTGCCTACAATCCCACGTGTCTAGAACCCAGGACCCTGTCTCCACACAGGGCTCTTGCTCATTCATGGCTCCCCGCCTGGCATCCTGGCCCTGCATGCAGTGGGCAGTTGCTTAGTCCCCACCACCCACCCTATGCCATTCCCCTCTTTCCAGGTGGAAATTTAGGGAATGGAGACCTTTTTAAAAGTGTATCCATCAGGGGAGGAAAAGAAACTGAAGAAGCCTCCCTCGGTAATAACTGGCGAACACGCCAAGCCCCGTGTTGGAGCCCTGTCTACCGTGGGTCCAGGAGCCAGGGCACAGGAAGACCCAGCTTCCTCCCAGGGCTGTGCAGCTGGAGGGAATGACAGATCCCACTAGGAGCTGAGGAGAGGCCCAATTAAGAGGCCGTAATCAGACGAGGGGAGTCCAGGGCTTGGGACCAGAGCAGGTCCTTAGAGTGGGTTCAGCTCATGAAGACAAGCAGGGCTGGGAAGGTGGTCAGAGCGTGAGCCTGGGGAATCAGACAGGTGGGAGCCCCATCTGCCACTTAGATTCTGTCTCCTCCACTGCAAAATGGGGATAGTGGTACCTACACATAGGGTGGATGCTCATAAAGCAATGAGCACCAGGCCCAGCACACATGCTCTAAATGTAATAGTCACGGGATTTCTGCTAAACACAGATCCCATCCAAATGAGATTCCACCAGAATCCATCCCCTCCCCAAAGCAGAAACATGGTGTGGAGTTAAAGGCTGCCCAGAACACACAATTTGGAGTCAAAATACCCAAGTTTAACTCCTGGCTCTGCTCTTTAATAACTGGGTAACTTAGACAAGTTGCTTAACCTCTATGAATCATGTGTATCCGAGAAAGGGGGTAAAATCAACCCAGATCACAGGGCTGCGTGGGAATATGGAAATCATCTGTCCTCTGTATAGAACAATATTCTATTCATGTAGTTGATGAAGAGTAAGGGAACACACTCCTAGAGGGAGAACTACTTCTTCCCCTCTTCCCTTCTCCACCAGAAGCCCCCAAATCACAGACTTCCACAAGGTGGTGAAACAAAATTCAGGGTTTAGCATCAGCTAGAGCTGCATATGTAAGCCTCCAACAGGAAAGAAAAGCAACTAATTATATTGCCCTTGGAAGCCAGAGTATGTGTGAGTAGGTTAAGGCTAAACCATAATAGTATTTTATCTTTATAAACAGTGAGACACAATCAAATTTATGAGGTGTCATTATCCAAATAAGAGGTAATTAAACATTTCTTTATTCAATACAAAATGGCCTGATTATAGTATTGCCACACTGAATGGTTAGCTAAGCTTGGCTCAGAGATGAAATGCAAGCCATGTAAAATTCAAAACATACTCAGGTAAATTGTATTTACTGATGGTCACTGTTGCTGGGTAATAAATGGAAAAAAAAAAAAACTGTCTTCATCCCCATCTTGCAGTTGAGAAGAGTAAGTCTCTTGGAGGTGACAACTTTAGTTGTCTAAAGTCATACAAAGTATAAGGCTTGAACACAAATATAAGTCATGAGTTAACTAATCACTCACTTCATTTTAACTGCCTTCATTGTATGTACAGAGCTTTACGCCAGCGTAAGGAAGCAGTGAAGGTTTTTAAAAATCAAAACTCCTGCTGAGTTTTCAAAGTTCAAATGATCCAACTTAACGGAGCACACAATTGCACTCAGGGTTGTGAGGAGAACAAAGGGCACAGGATGTCCCCATTTAGAGACTGCAAACCCACCTGGGCCTTGGGACAGTGCTGTCCCTGCCCACTTTGTGGATTCTTTGAATTGCAGAGAATGGATAATACCGAGTGGGTGGTTTCTAAATAATGGGGGGGGGGGGCACGTGTTCAGAGTGAGTGTGGAGCAGAGAGGAGATTGGGGACTGGAGGAGAATGTGTCACTGACCAGCACGGGGCTCCTGGCCAAAGCCCAGGAGAGAGGCCAACGGCCAACTGAAGGGGCCTCATGTTTTACACGCAGCCAGGCTATCAAATGAGTACGTGCTGATAGTCTCAGGACCTGTCCCCTCTCTTCTCCTCACCCCTAAATCCCATTTACCCAGAATTTGAGATAACAAATATCAGCCGAGCCACCCAGCACTTCCTGAACACGCAAGTCGCCTCTGTTAATGAGGTTTCATGAAAACCCTCAGCAGGAAAGCGTTTCATTAACATCTGTCACCGCTTATCAGCTCAGTTTAGGCCCACATTATGCATCGCAATCTCCTGATGGGAAGGAAAGGCCGCCCAGCCCTTCCCTCCTCGCTTCCCTTTCTTCTGTGACATACTGCCACTGCCATCATGTGGCTGCAGCCGGCACAGCCGCTCCCTTCTAGACAAATCCTGCAAACTGGTCTTAGGACTAGAAAGATSGGAATAAGTAATGCCTGGGGCTGGGGCTGGGGCTCAGTGTAGAGCACTTGCCTCGCATGCAGGAGGCCCTGGGTTTGATCCTCAGCACCACCCAAAAATAAAGAAATATAAAGACATTGTGTCCATCTACAACTAAAAAGAAATTTAAAAAAGAAAGAAAGAAATGCAAAGGCACTTCTCAAAGTAAACCAAAGGAAGTCTCCAGCAGTCTCGATTTAAGACTGGCTGGTGTTCTAGGACTGTATTTTCGTACAGTGGCCATTTGGAACTTGAGACGCATTTCCATCTCAGAAGAAGAGCAGGTCTCCCGCGCAGACCTAGCACAGAACTCTGTCCCAGGCCTGCCTAGTTGGCCCTTTGTGACCTCTTCTCCCAGCGGTGCACTGGTCTTCCAGCTTAGGATGGCCTCTTGCCTTGCTCTGCAACAAAACTTGTTCCCACCTCTTCTTGCTCCAACTAGACATTTTTCTCATACTTTGTGGGTAATCCAAGTCCTCAAGTAGCCCTGTGCTAGGAGCACCTTGGATCCCTGATGAGGCAGCTGCTCCCAGACATTCCTCACTCTCCATTTGCTGAAGAGAAGGAAGAAGGCTCCCAAGATCTGCCACTCTCACTAGGGAGCACATCCCAAGTGCTGCGCCGGAAATACAGAGGATCCCAGGACAGGAGTTCTGCCTTCCAGGGAGCCAGTCCAACAGGGAAATGGATGAATAAGTCCAAGGTTACATCAGAGGCTGCCAAGTGCTGAGAGACATGGTGATATCCTGGAGAACTTCGTGCGGCTCTCTCTTCTGAAAAGGGCTTGTGTATGCCAGGTGCTATATTAACTGCTAACAAACACGAACCCACTACTGGTCATATAAGGTAGGAACCAGAATTATCCGTTTTACAGATGAGGAACTGAGAGGCTAAGCAGAGCTAGCAAGACACAGGACCAGGATGAGAGCCCAGAGTCATTAGAATGAGCAGGTGAGACAATCAGTGCGCATCCAACTCTGGCATGGGTCTGGCGGGCCTGTGTGACAGATGAGGAGCCTGTGTGGTGGCTCGCTCTGCTGTGAGGGGCCGCTCTGAGAGGCCAGAGCAGCAGAAGAGACCGACAGAGTTCAAACCAGGGGCCGGAGATGGTGTCCCAGACAGAGAGTGTACGAGGCACGAGACGGAGAAGTGTATTCTAGGCAAAGGGATCAGATCGGCCAGTGCCAAGGGACAAAGACAACACGAGCCTGGTGTAGTTGGAACTGTACCCTCTGGGATGAGACTCGATACAAGGGTGATTGACAGGCAGTGAGCCTGTCAATTGGAGCCAGTACTCAGCCAAGTCCTTGTAATTCCTCCTGGAGGCCACGGGCATTATAGAATTAAGTATGAAGTGACATCATCGAATTTGGAGATAGCTTGGAGAGGGGCCAGATCTTAGATGGACTAATTAGAAGGTTATTACGAAAATAAGGCAATAAATCTCAACTAAGGCACCCACCCTTGGGATAGAGAGGGAAAAATTGAATTTGAGATGCATTCCTGGGTATAGATGTTTGTATTCGTTGTTGCTGGCCCGAGACAGCCCATCACCTGAAGGAGAAAGTGCGCCTCTCGTAGGGCAAGCAAGACCTATTCCACCTGGACCCCACCCCATTCTACAGGGACCTGCCTCAGGAGCGTGGGAGTGACCCAGTGCCCACATCTGCTTACCATCCACCTGGGGCTGTGATCCTGACTCCCAGCTCCTTTGGAATTGCTGTTTCCTGGGTCTCCTGGATGCCCTCCTGGCAGACTCTTTTTCAAAACCCAAGTCAAATGCCAACTCATTGGCTTAACAAGCATTTACCGAACATCCTGACAGTCTCCGTCCTCTTGGTCTGAAATGCTTCCATGATGCGCCAGGTGATTTCCCAGCATGGCCACTGGGTCATCTGCAGGTCCCCCCTCTGTCCAGTTCACATCCTTTTCATACCCACCCCTCTCAGACTTTGTCCTGCATATGCACCACCTGGGAATCTTCCTGAAAACACAGATTCTGGTTCCCTGGCCAAGAGGTGGGGACAGAGAGTCTGCATTTCCAACAAGATCCCTGCTGGTCTGCAGATACATTTGAATAGGAGGACCAACCGTATACATTTTCTTCAGATAGACCAATGAAAAAGCAACAAAAGCAATTATTTCTGACAATGAACTCTTTTTTAAAGGAAAAGTTACTTGAAATAAAATGCACAGAATCTAAATATTCAATGTGATGGTTTGACAAATGTATTACACCCTTGTGACCTCGAGAATGTTTATATTTCCAGAAAGTTCCCTCATTCCCCTTTCCATTTAATCTTCCAAATAAAGGTGGTTCAGTGGGGACCCAAAATAGTGTAGTCCAAGGAAGTAGCTTTCTGATTCAACAAGTTTGAGCCAAGGAAAAACATGTAAAGAGGAACAGGAGAAACTCCACACATCCGCAGGCCACTCTGCAGGAAGAGTGTAGATCCCCATCTAACTAATCATTGGAGCTACTGTCTTACAATAGTTTCTTTGTTTATTTTCCAAAACTAATGCCATATACCAGGCCCTGTGCCTGGTGTGGAATGACAAGGTGACCACCATGGCCCCATGGTCAAGAGGCCCACCCACTCTCTTGGTCTTTTCTGGCTGCTATGACAAAATGCCTTATCAACAACAGAAATGCATTTCTCGTAGTTCTAGAAGCAGGTTCATTATCTAGGGAGGACCTGTTCCCTAGGTCACAGATGGTACCCTCTTGCCTGTCCTCTCATGGTGTATGGGGCTACCGAGCTCTCCTGGTTCTCTTCCATAAGTGCACTAATCCCATTCACTAGAGCCCCCCCACACACACATGACCCACCCACATCCCAAGACCCCACCTTCTCTACCATTACACCCAAGGTAATCCTTGGGGGTTGGGTTTTCAACATATGAATCTTGGAGAGACCATAACATGGGCTCACCTTTGGCAGGAGCAACAGACAAGGAAACCCAGGAAGCTCCCTAGAAGAGATTTCAGGGGCATGAGCATTTGGGCCATCCCAGGAAGAGCTGGGGAGGATGACGGGAAATCCCTGAGTCGTTAATAAATGTCAGATTTTCCTCGCCCTTGCAGAGGACTTTATAAAACCTCCCTACCGATCTCACTTCATCGTCCTAACAGCCCTGTGACAAGTCAGGTGGCACTGTTCCCCTCCCACAGCAGTGGACACTGAGGCTTGATTAAAGTCACCTGCTGGACAGCTGCAAAGCAATGCCTTTAGCTCCCTGGAAAACTGTCCCCACCACCCCACAGCGGCTCCCTGAATGGAGTGGCAGGAATCTTGGGGCACTCTCCTCAGGAACCCAGACCCCAGCCTGTGCAGGGACATTAGTCCTGGATGACAGGACCAGACACGGGCACCCCCTGACATCTGCCCCCTCCTAGAAGATGAATCTCAGACCCCGGCACTATTCCCCCTGGGGGTGACTTTCCTGCATCCCCTGGGTTAGGAMGCCGCGCCCCGGCCAGCTGGCCTCCCCAATGGCTGTACTAATCGCCACCCCTTCATGTGTTTTAGCATCTGGCTTCCTGCATCTGCACCATGAAAATCATGCTTTGTGACCTCCTGCTGCTCAGCCTCCTCTCCAGCGTGTTCAGCAGTTGTCCGAGGGACTGTCTCACCTGCCGGGAGAAGCTCCGCCCAGCTCTGGACGGCTTCAACCTGGAGGTAGGTCCAGGAGGTGGAGAAGCCACCTTCTCCCCCTCCATCTCCTTCTGTCCACTGGAAAGCAGACCCTGGGTGAGAATCTCAAGCCTCTCCCAGAGAACAGAACTTGCCCAGTGTCATGTCACCAGGAGGAAACAGATGTGGACACTTTCCAGCCAGGAACCCCATGACCTTTCTACCTTAGCACCTTCAAATAAAGACCTGCTGATTGATGGGTGCCACAGCACACACCTGCAATCACAGCTGCTCCGGAGGCCAAGGCAGGAGGATTACCAGCTGGAGGTCAGCCTGGGCGACTTAGCAAGACCCTGTCTCAAAAAGTAAAACAGGTTGTGGGTGTAGTCAGTGGTGGAGCACTTGCTGAGCCTGTGCGAGGCCCTGGGGTCCATCCCCAGCACCACACACACTCACACCCCTGCTCATACTGCCCTACTGTTCCCAATATTAAAGTAATGCATTTCTTTAAGTTGTTTTATTTGTTCTTTTTAGTTCTACATAGCAGTAGACTGCATTCCAACACATCATACAAATATGGAGTATAAGTTCCCATTTTTGTGGTTGTACATGATGTGGAGTTACACAGTTGTGTATTCATGAACGTGGGAAATTTATGTCCAATTCATTCTACTGTCTTTCCCATTCCCATCCCCCCACCCTTCCCTTCATTCCCCTCTGTCTAATCCAGTGAACTTCTACTCTCCCTCACCCCCCAGTGCTGCTCATTGTGACTTACCCACATATCAGAGAGAACATTTGGCCTTTGGTCTTTTTGGGACTGGCTTATTTCACTTAGCATGATAGTCTCCAGTTCCATCCATTTATTGACAAATATCATCATTTCATTCTTCTTTATGACTTAGTAATATTCCATTGTGTGTATGTACCACATTTTCTTTACCCATTCATCTGTTGAAGGACACCTAGGTTGGTTTCATAGCTCAGCTATTGTGAATTGAGCTGCTATAAACATTGATGTGGCCATGTCACTGTAGTCTGCTGATTTTAAGTCCTTTGCATATAGTGAGGGGTGGGATAACTGGGTCAAAAGGTGGTTCCATTCCAAGTTTTCTGAGGAATCTCCATACTGCTTTCCAGAGTGGTTGCACCAATTTGCAGTCCCACCAGCAATGTATGAGTGTAATGATGCCTTCTTATTTCAGAGAATTTGGCAAATTTAGAAAAGCATTATTAAAAAATAAAATCTAAATCACCATTAATCCCAGCAGAGAAAGAATTGCATCTTTCCCCCATTTACTAGAGTCCACCAGGATAGTGCTCCCATGTCATGAAGTTATTTCTTTCTGTGAATGTAGCACAGCTTGTTTAACCCTTCCCTGCCTAGTGAACATGCCCTCCATTGTTGACCCTGCAGACCATTCTACAGTGACCATTCAATGATCTGAAATGTTCTGATAGATTTTAGATTTCCAACTTGTGGTGCAAATCCAAGGTTAAGCTATTATCCATTAAACTAATTTCTCACCTCCTCTGACTTCTGTCTAGAGAGTTATTCCTCTCCTGTTAACACCAGCATAATTCAATTACCGCTTCCTTTGAAGTCAATTAAAGCGTCTTTCAAGCTGCCAAACCCCTCAGCCTTTCAAAACAATCAAAAGCAGCGACTGTTCCTGGGGCAAATGTGCAAGCGTGGAGCCAGGGCCATGCTGGACTATCATGGGCCTGCTCTCAGCTCCAGCTCCTCCGGCCCCAGGCCAAGGCTGTTTCTGACCAGTAAGAGCCACAGAGCAGCCCAGGGGACTCACCCTCATTCCTCCTTCTCATCCGTCAGGTTTTCCCCAGAGACGGACCCTGCGCAGGGTCCGGCTCCGCCCACTGTCTCTCACTCAAGAAGGCCGTCCTCTCTAGGTTCTCGGGCCTCCTTCACCAGCCTCCTCCCTGCTCTGACTCTCCTTATCCCACTTCCTAGCCTGCCTTCTCTTCCTCTCTCCACTTGATAATCACAAGGAATTGCCGGGATGGCCGCTTCCCGGCTCCTCCCTCCCTCTAGGGTCCCACCTCAGTCCCCACCTCCTGGTCCCCCCAGGCTGCAGGTAACTCCCAAAGGTCCAGGTCACCTGACCGCCTCTCTCCAGGCTCAGCCCCACATGACCATTACCGGTCACTTTCCACAGCTCCTGGGACATCCTGCCTTCCCTTCCCTGCCATCTCCCCCCTCCCCTTTTGATAAAGCCTGCTCACACCTCAGAGCCCTGATTGTCTCACCTCAGAGGAGAACACTGTGCTGACTCAGCCTCGAGGTGGGTTTTCCTCTGACTAAGGCCAGAAACATGAGGAGGAGATTTAGGGGTGAAGCCAAAACACCAAGAAGGAAGAAAAGTTGGAGCCAGAGACTTCTAGGAGACCCAGCCAGAGACAGGAAGGTCAGGACCAGGCAGGAAGCCTAGACAGGTGTCATGACCAGGCTGGTGGCCTCCACCAGAGGCCCTGTTGCTTGGGGAGGCAGAACAGCAGCAGACGGTGGCTGGAGGTCTGCCTGGCTCCTATCCGATGATGGCATCCCTTCCCCACCTTCCACTCATGCCCACCTGCCCCATACCAAAGGCCCTGGACACTCACCTGCCACAGATGATGGACAGCTAGAGATGGCTACTGTAGAGCATGGAAAATCAACAGCCCCAGGGCTGATGGCTACACCGTGACCTTAAAACACACGAGCAGATTTAACCACTTACTTTCACATCCCCAGTTTCCTTAGCCAATCTGATCTTCCCCAAGCCTGATGAGAGAAGGAAATAAAGTTCTTCTTTCTGGGTGATGCTCACCAGCTGTGCTTGGCTGCCAACCCCAACCCAGTGGGTTCCGGTTGTTACTGGCACCTGCAGGTCTAGCTCTGACCCCCAGGTGTGAGCTCTGTGTGCCAACAGATCTGAGTTTCCCAGCACATGGCCTGGTGGGTGGCACAGAGGCTGCTGTGTAAAATGTCCCCTGGAAACAGATTCTAGGACACTTAGTCCTGGTGGGCACATCCAGTGTGGAGTTCTGACTTAAGAGACAATGAAGAATATGGAGCCTGTTTCCATCTCTTCATTGCATCTCAGATCTTCAGGGTCTAGAATCACTCATAACTTTACTTCTTTGAAACTAGTCAGAAAATGAAACAACAGACATCTCACAAGCAAGGGCAGATGCTCAGAGTGTCTGTGCCCCCCGCCCCTGCCCCACCAACCTGGCTGCCCACTTGTTTTCGTTTCTAGTTTGTGTCCACTTTTAATCTATTCTTAAGTTTAATGAAATGCCAAGAACACAGGACAGCACATCTCATTCCCAAACCTGGCAACCTTTGAGTGTGTCCACTCTGAATGATGGGGGAACTCATTTCAGCCAGGGTCACCTCACGGTCTCTCCATCAGATTATATAATTCTGAGCTCTTCCCAGGATCCTTTGGACTTTTGGCTTCATCAGAAATTTTTCTATTTCTATTCCTGGTAGTTGGTCCAAGAATGGCTGGCTTTTTTATTAGACTATAATTTTGGTTGGTAAATGACTCACACACCCAAACCCATTGCAATGTCTTGGCCTTTTACCTAATCACGTCAATTCATGAAGAAAAAAAAAAAGTAGATTCATTGAGTTGTTTTAGAAATGAAGAATAATGCAACTAACCCCTCCCCCCGAGACACAGTCTGGGGAAATATATTTAAAACTTCTTAAAACCCTACTGCAAAACAAACCACTTTCTGGTGGACCTCTCTTCATGAGATGAACATCCTTAGGAGATGATTTGTTCTTTGTGTGGTCTTCTTGTTGGCTGTGCCTCTGCTGCCCTACCAGTGTTATCCCTGGAATATTCTAGCAAAGCCTCCTAGAGCAAGTAGCTACCAAACATCTCTTGGACAGAAGTGGTTGAAGTCTAGCTCATGGCAGGAGCTAGACTGTCTCTGTGACCTTCTTCTTTTCCTTCCAGAGAGCTCCTGTGTCTGTTTCTCACACATGTTAGGCAAGTGYTCTACCACTGAACTACACTCCCAACCTGTACCCTCATCTCTGATCCAGACATCCAAATGGCCCTTTGCTCTGTCTCCTCACAAGCTCGCTTTGCAGATCAATTTGGCACCAATCTGGGACTCCAGATGCTCATGCAAACTTTGGCTTAATATAGCAATGTCATCAGCACGGGCTTCGAAAATGCATCCAGCTCACTTAATAGGCCATTAACCCATCTCTGGAAAGCGGCTGGTGAGGCCCCCAGACCACAGGGTTAGGCATTCAGCTCGTATGCCCATCTGGTGCTACAAATGCTGTTGTGAATTTGGATCCCTCCTATTAGGCCCCAAACCTTCTCCTAAATCAAGAATTGGGATGATTTGGTTAGCATCTAATTTACCTAACAGTGTCCAGTCTGCATATGGACTGTGGCATCTGGTTTGATCATAAAATTTCATTTTCTCTGATTGACACCAAATCTAATTGCCATCTGGGCTTACAAATCCAGGAGCTCACAGCAGATCTAGTCATATCTAGACTTATCTCTCCCACCTGTGTCTGTTCACAGAAGGAGCAGCACAATTCAATAAGCATTTGGGGTCCTACTCTGAGAGGAACAGGCCAAGCATGCCCATCACACTTTTGTGATGCTATCCACACGTCCCTGATTTCCCATGGATATAGTAGAGCAGGGATTTTTCAAATTCACCATTGAGGTCCACTTGTGGGGAACTGTTTTAGTGAGTTTCTTCACTGTTGTGACTAAAAGACCTGACCAGAACAACCGTACAGGAGGAAAAGTTTATCTGGGGGCTCCCGGTTTCAGAGGTCTCAGTCTGTAGATAGCCAGCTCCATTCCTCAGGGCTCAAGGTGAGGCTGAACATCATGGAGGAAGTGTGGCAGAGGGAAGCAGCTCACATGATGATCAGAAAGCAGCGCGGGAAGAGACTCCACTCTCCAGATATAAAATATGGACTCCAAAGCCACGCCCCCAAGGCCACCTCCTCTAGCCACACCGTACCTGCCTTCAGTTACCATTCAGTTAATCCCTATCAGAGGAGTAACTCACAGATTGGGTTAAGACTCCCACAACCCAGTCATATTTCCTTTAAACCTTCTTGCATTGTCTTACATGGAAGCTTTTGGGGGACACCTCACATCCAAACGGTAACAGGAACCATTCTCTGCATTGAAGGAGTTTTACTCATGCTTGGCCTCTAGGTGGCGCTAGCAGACACACACACACACACACACACACACACACACACACACACACACACACACATAATGACGACCAAAATGTCTCCAGGTGCTAGAATGTCTACTATTTAATAGAAGGTGAAGACTCCTACAAGGCACTTCAATATAAGCGAGATGTGGCCCCTCGCTTGTTATACTCGGCCTTAGGAGATATTGCAATTATTTATATTAAGCATTAAAATTAAGAATTAAGAATTTTTGATGGGAACACGGAGGAAGGAATGAGCAATTCTTCCAGGTACAGTACCTAGAAGAAGGTATCATATAGGGGCAGCACTGGATTGTGGCTGGGTCCCCAGGGATGGATGGAAGGAAATCATTCCATCAGAGAATAAACAGTGACTAAAGGCAGTAGGAGCAGTCCTATGTACCTGGGGGCATGTGCATGGGAGGAATTGGAAGCAAGGTGTGCGCTGGGCCAGGTGCTAGAGGGACTGATCAGGAGTCTGGAGTATTTCATTTACAAAATATCAGACAGTTGTGAACGAGTTGTGATTAGAGTTATTTCTCAGGAAGAGTATTCTCCAGGGACCTAAAATGGACTCGGGAGGTAAAGCTAGAGATAGAGTGCTTAGCTAAGGAGCCACTGTGCCCTCAGAGGGAATGGAGAGGAGAAGCCGACCTGAGTTACTAAGCAGACGGAGGTGGGACGAGAGAGGTGAAGATATGCCCAGGGTTTACATGTCTGTCAACTGGGGAATAAGGAACCATCCAGGGAGAGACAGAGAAACCACGCAGAAGGGCAGACTCAGGTGGGGAAAAGATCAGTTAGAAATTGAATTCACCTGCTAGTACCAAAGACCTAAAGTAGCAGTGGCCTAAATAAGACAGAGAGTTGGTTCCTCATACGGAAGGGATTCCAGGGCTAACAGGACAGCTCCAGCTCCTGCGTCTTTCTGCTCTGCCTGCCTATGGCTTCCCATGCCTATGACTCCACCCTCCACAGCACCCCATGCTTTCAAGATGGACAGCTGAGAACCAGCCAAGATGTCCACATTGCAAACCTGAAGCTGGAGGAAGGGGAGGACGGAGGAGAAGGGGAAGTTCTTCCCAGCTCAGTCAGCCCTGCTTTACTGGAGGCTGCATCTGATCATTTCCATTCTTGCTGCTGGTCTCCTCATTCTGTAGGGAAGATTCAAAACTTACCTGTTGCCTTCAGGAAGAAAACAGTGTTCTGTTAGTAATGGAGAAGGGAGATGGATCCGGGTGGGGAGTTAGCAACCTCTGCCCCTGAAGGTGCCCAGGGAGCCAGGCCCAAGCTCCATAAGAGTCAGCTGAGGGCTGCCCAGCTGCCTGCTTGCTCACCCTGTCAAACATGGGCTGAAGGGGGTTTTCTCTAAGGCCAGAAACATGAGGAGGAGATTTAGGGGTGAAGCCAAAACACCAAGAAGGAAGAAAAGTTGGAGCCAGAGACTTCTAGGAGACCCAGCCAGAGACAGGAAGGTCAGGGCCAGGCAGGAAGCCTAGACAGGAGTCATGGTCAGGCTAGTGGCCTCCACCAGAGGCCCTGATGCTTGGGGAGGCAGAACACCAGCAGACGGTGGCTGGAGGGTCTGCCTGGCTCCTATCTGATGATGGCATCCCTTCCCCACCTTCCACTCATGCCCACCTGCCCCATACCAAAGGCCCTGGACACTCACCTGCCACAGATGATGTACAGCTAGAGGTGGCTACTGTAGAGCATGGAAAATCAACAGCCCCAGGGCTGATGGCTACACCGTGACCTTAAAACACACGAGCAGATTTAACTACTTACTTTCACATCCCCAATTTCCTTAGCCAATCTGATCTTCCCCAAGCCTGATGAGAGAAGGAAATAAAGTTCTTTTTTCTGGGGCTGGGGTTGTGACTCAGTGGTAGAGCGCTTGCCTAGCACGTGTGAGGCACTAGGTCCGAGCCACATAAAGATAAAACAAAATAAAATAAAGGTACTGTGTCCATCTACAACTAAAAAAAAAAAAATACTCTTTTTTTTAAAGTTCTTCTTTTATCTGATGCTCACCCAGCTGTGCTTGGCTCTGAAAACCTGACTAAGGATATAGCAGGGCGTAGTTTGGGGTGCCTTTATTCTGTGTTAACTTACTATTAACCTGGAGTGAGTCAGCCTCACCTCTGATCCCTGATTTCTTTGTTGGTAAAATGATGGAACTGGGCCAAATGGTGCTGTGTTTCTTTGCAATTCTGAAATTCTATGAACCTAAAAAAAAAAAAAAAAAACACTTTACATACACTACTGCATAGTTCTTGAGAAATGATGCTTCAGAAGCGTTTGCATCGGTGCGGACACAGATGACCCAGGGACTCAGCTCCTCCCTCACCTTGAACTCACAGAGGTTCCTGTTTCTTTTTCCCTTCATCCCCTCCTCCCCCATTTTTGCAGGTGTGCATTTTCGAGTGTGAAGAGAAGATCTTCCCCAGCCCTCTCTGGACTCCATGCACCAAGATCATGGCCAGGGGCCCCTGGCAGCTCAGCCCTGCTGACCCAGAGCACGTGACCGCTGCTCTTTACCAGCCAAGAGCCTCGGAGATGCAGCACCTGAAGCGGATGCCCCGTGTCCGGAGCCTGTTCCAAGCACAGAAAGAGACAGAGCCTGGCGTGGACGAGGCTGGCGAGGCAGAACAGAAGCAGCTGCAGAAGAGGTTTGGGGGCTTCACCGGGGCCCGGAAGTCGGCCCGGAAGCTAGCCAACCAGAAGCGGTTCAGTGAGTTCATGAGGCAGTACCTGGTCCTGAGCATGCAGTCCAGCCAGCGTCGGCGCACCCTGCACCAGAATGGTAATGTGTAGCCGGAAGGGGAGCCCCTCCCAGCTGCACTGGCCACTGCAACCCATGAGTGAGTTGGGCACCGATGAGCTGGGGGCAAGAAGAGACCCCACACACCCAAATGTCTTAGCCTTCCCCCAGGCCCAGAAGCACCACACACACACACACACACACACACACACACACACTCACACACACACACACACACACACACACACACACACTCACACACATACACACTCCAAGACTCCAGCTCCTGGGAGACTTGAGACTTGAGAGGGAAATTCACCTCCCTGCCTCCTGCCCACCCTTTTCCTGGGGAGCAAAGATTTTCCTAAGATTGCTGCTTGAGGCTGACCACTCCCATTTGGAGATTGGTTACCATGGGGATAATAGTAGTATGTTAAGATAACTAATTCCTCTATAGCTCTCCAGGAGCTTAGTTACTATGGGGACAGATAAGTGGACCAATTCTCTTATCCAGTTGCCATAGCAACCATTCAGCTCACCTTTCCTCAGAGACTATCTCTAGAAACCAATAGCTGAACCTACTCTTAGCCATTCAGAGGCCGATTTCTGTGGCTGTGATGTCGCTGTTTCACCTTCAGAGATGGCTCACGTCTCTCCCTTTCCTTGACACTGTCTCAAGGTGTCTGTGTTGACTCCATGAAAACCATCAAACTTTCCCATTTCCCCTGCCAAGGATTTCTTGTTAGAACCAGGAAGTTAATGCTTTCTGCTTTTCTTTCTTCCGTAAGCCATTTGTCCACCCTATCACCTTGCCTGGAAGATGTGGTCATTGGCATCATCACCAAGCAGGACCTCTAGAATTTGGCCCAAACTGAGCTCTTAGTCTGAACAATATGGACTCACGGATGTCTCTTCCTTCCTCCAATTTGCTTCTTTGTAGGGTACCATTTTTTTGTTTTGTTTATTTTTGTCTCTCTCTTTTCTCCCTTGTTCTCTCTTCTTCACCCCGGGCATGCTCATCTAAGTAAATATAATACGTATTGGATAACATACACCAAAGTCCTAATTAATTGCCCAGTCATTCCAAACTCAACCCTTTGGGCCCATTAACAAATACATAACTTTGAGTGGCTCTGGGAACTAGCACAGTAGAATTTTCTGAAATTTTAAGAAAAATCTTGACCGGGTGCCTTAATTTGTGTATGGGAATCTGATCATGTACAGAGTCCCACATGCCTTCTTAAACAGCCTAGAAACTTGGCCTAAAGCAAAGAACTAGCCGTATCAATAATCTTCTTCCTTCAATGTATGTTAATCCATATGTTAATCTATGGCGCAGCAGCAAACTACATGGATCTTTGCTGGTAGCCAGCTTGTTTGCAACCAGCCCATCCCCATATGGACACATGTATTACAAGTTGTGAGAAGAAGGCTGGCATGCTTAGTTACCAGAAGTACTAATCTCCCAAGGTGCAGAGTAGACCTGCACTGTGTTCAAAGTCATACTCCTGAACCGTTCACAAGAATTATGTTTCTTTCTAAGCTGTATTTGCACAGAATCTAATGACATTTCTTTCAGAAGTAGCATGGATTATTGGATTCTTAGAAATCTTAAAGACATTCTTTAAAGTGGCTCTTCAGGGACACCAAAGCCCATATCTAATTCTGAACCATCATAACATTTCTCCTTACCTAGACAGTTTAAATCAGTCCTATTAGCAGGAATCAATTTATTTGGTTAAAAAAAAAAAAAGAAAAGGAAAGAAAGAAAGGAACTACCCAGGCGATCAGCTTTTCTATTGTCCTTCCAACTGAGGAGCTAAACTAAGGCTGGTAACCAACTTCTGTCCACTGCTTTGCAAAGTCCTTGATAGAGATCTGGCAACTTTACCAGCTCATTTGGGCGTTAGTGATGGCTGTCTTTTCTCCCTGTACAGCCCTGTTTCTTATTTCTGCAGGTGCACGGCTGCTGAGTGCAGAATGGACACGTTTTACAAGTCAAAACAGGCAGCTGGAGTCTTGTTTTTATCCACAGGCACCCCAACCTGGCCTGTGTGCGATAGAGTCCACCATCTTGGCCGACTTTCATTGCCAAAATCGTTCTTGACTTCTAAGACATCCAGTGGGAGAGAATGGGGCTCCTGAACCCTGAATGGGATTAGGAGCCTATTCGAAAAGTGCAATGGGGTCCTAGAAGGCAGGTGTTGGGAAGCAGGCCCTGCCCTAGACAGCAAGGTGCCAAGGGACAACTGGTCTCGGGGATTCCCTTCCCCTCCCCTGACCCTATGCCTTTGACTCTTTCCCACCGCCTCAGGACTTGACCCTTGAGACAGTGGGAAATCAGCAGATTCCTTCGTGGCCAGGTATGAGTGACATCAGGCTTAAAGAGCCCTTGTCCTGTAAGAGAACCTCAGATGAGGACACAATTGAGCATGCATTCCGAATACCAGGGAGGAGGAATTTCAGGGTAGGGGGCTTGTCACTCTGCCTTTCAAGTCAAAGCCCACTGACCTCCCTTTATGAATCCTACCAGCGAACTCAGGTGGGAGGACGGAGTGACATGTGGCATTAGGAACCTTGGGACCGTAGGAATCGGGTTGATTGCTGTCCCTGGCCTCCTTTTGATGGCTCTAGTCATTTGGGCAAATAGGATCAAAGGGACAAGAAAGCCATCAGGTTTGCCATTTTCGTTATTTCTGTCTCCCCAGGTGTCCAGGTGATCCCCAAAAGAGCATGTGTCCAGCCCCAGACCTGCCGGCTGGGAATCAGGATTCCTTCATCGCCCAGGCGCTGAGCACGCAGACCCGCGGGCTTTGCCTCCAGCTCCTCCCGCCCGGCCGTCTCCCCTCCCCACGGCATGTTTCACCACCCACCGGCCCTCCCCGATGCTCCATCAGAGTGTATTTTTGTAACTCCTCCAGCTACATTCTAACGGCCCCCTCTTTCCTCCTCACCCACCTCTTGGCCTTCTAGCGCCGGGTGAGAGGAATATGGAATCAATTCTGGGGCTTTGACACTCATCACTGCCATAACTTGTTTGTAAAAGAGCTGTTCTTTTTGACTGATTGTTGGAAACAACTATTTCTCCATTAAACTTCTACTGAGCAAATGGTTAATAAACTGGTTTGCTGCTTTTAAGTGACATGACTAAGAAGCACAGACTCCACAAACACGCTATAGGAGCCGCCTCTCCCAGGAGACAGAGACAGAAGCTCACAGTTCTGCATCCTATAAAGTAGGGCAAGAGGCACTAGCAAAAGCAGCCCCAGGGCACTGTGCCAACGGTGGGAACTGAGGCACACAGCCTTGTGAAGGCACAGGCAGGAGGGACAAAGGGCCAAGGGTTCTCAGACCTGTGTGCATCTGCACCAGGAGGGGTCCAGGCTGCTGGGGTGCAGCCTGGTTTCTGAGTAGATGGAAGCTTGCATTTTTAGCAAGTTCCAGGTGATGCAAATCCTGCCAAAGCTACTTTTGTCTCCCACTTAACACTAAACATGGTGAAGTGTGCGACTGTCAGAACCCGGCCAGGAAACATGGGGAGCACCCAGTAACTGAACATCTACAAAGACAGAAAGCAGGTCCTAGTCTGGGTTTTGACCCTATAAGAAGACACAATTAGTTGTCCCTCAGTACCCACAGGGGACTGGTTTCAGGACCCTTTGTGGATACCAAAACCCAAGGATGCTCAAGTTCCCTACAAAAAGTGATATATCTGCATAAAAACCTACACAAAACCTCCAATATGCTTTAAATTGTCTCCACTGATAATTCCTAATACAACGTAAAGGCTGTGTAAATAGTTGCAGAGTTGTATTGTTTGGGGAATAATAAGAAGTCTGTACATGTTCAGTACAGATGCAATTTGTGGGGGGCAGGGGGTGGCAGATACCAGGGATTGAACTCAGGGGACCTCGACCACTGAGCCACATCCCCGGCCCTATTTTGTTTTTCTTTTTTTATTTAGAGACAGGGTCTCAATGAGTTTCTTAGCGCCTCACTTTTGCTGAGGCTGGCTTTGAAATCGTGATCCTCATCCTCCTGCCTCAGCCTCCAGAGCCACTATGATTACGGGTGTGAGCCACCACGCCGGCAGTACAGATGCAATTTTTTAAAAATGTTTTCAGCCTGCAGTTGATTGAATCTTCAAATGCGGAACCCACAGATATGGAGGGCAAACTACCACAAACTGAGAACATTATGGGGTTTATTTGGCTTATAGTTCTGGAGGCTGGGAAGTCCAAGACGAGGGGCCACACCGGCTGCATCCTAACATGGCAGCAGGAAACGCAAGACAGAGGTAGGGGGAACTTCCCTGTTCATCAGGAGCCCACAATCACAGGAACTAACCACAGTCCACTCATGAGGCTGCAGCCAGGACCTAATTGCCTCTAAGAGGCCCCACCTCCTAATAAGATCCTTACATTCACTATTAAATTCAACACTCAGACCCCATCTGCTGACTTCCTGTACCCAGAGGTACAGGAAGTCAGCAGATGGTAAGGCCTGTCGGGAGCTAGGGTAAGCTAGGGTAAGCTGGCAGGGGTAAGGGAGTTCTAGAACTCCTAAGTGCATCTCTCTGGAGCTTGCAGCAGAGGACAGTCATTCACACATGGGGAGCCGTGCAGTTCGGTACCCCCACTTCCCTCCCCTTCCCACTTCCCAAATTTGTTCTGGTGTCTCCTGCGGACCCCACCAGGAGCTGGAAAGCTAGAGATTCCCCCTAATGCCACCACAAAGACCCCTATCACCAAGCCTCAAATGCATAAACCAGTCCCTGGGTGGGATATTTTTCTGCTTCAAACCCCTGCCCACTGAGGCCAGCTTTGCCAGCCCGTGGGCCTCCACAGCACCCAGAATCTATGACTTTAGCAGGTAGACCATGCTCAGAGTAGAGTGCTACTCTTTGGACATGTCTGAATATGTCCCTTAAAGGTGCCTGTGTTGGATGTGTGGTCCTCAATGGGGCAACTGGGAGGTGGCACCCAGCAGAGGGCCCTAGGTGTGTCCTAGGAAGGGACTCGGGGACTCCAGCCTCTCTGGCTTCCTGTTTTCCCAATGTGATCCATCTCTCTCTCTTACAAGAGCTGCCACCATTGCCATCTGCCATCAGGCAAACAGCCAAGGGGTGCCCTGCAAGAGCTTGACCAGGAAGTTTGGATTTCCAGTCCCCCAAACTGTGAGCTAAATAAACCTTTCTTCCTTTATAAAGTTAGCCTGCCTCAGATATTTCATTATAGTAAGGAAAAGATGACTAATACTTAGGGTATTAGACTTATTTTCTCCTATATCCCAAGCCCCTTCCTCAACACACTTGGGAATATGGTCCAGAATATATTCCCTTTGTCAACATGAGCAGTTCAAAATAGTTGCTGCCTGGATCACAGCCCTGGTGCCATTATCTCCCCATCTGTGATCTGGGCAAGATATTTAGGCTTGGTGCCTCCCTCTCCTCGTTTGTAAAGTAGCAGCAACAGCAACGCCCTCGCACAAGCAGCTGGCCCAGTTCCTGGCAAATGTCACCTACTGTTCCAGAGGGTGACATGCTAGCACTCGTCTAACACCAAGGACACTGAGACGCTTACTCTTTATAGGAACAGGAAGAAGAAAAAACACACCAAGTCAGACAATGTACCATTTTATTCCTTATAAAATATATTTCATATTGTTGCTGTAAAAACATTACATTTCACATTTTTTTAAAAAAATTTTAACAGTAAAAATAATACTTGGAAGACAGCTGGGCGGGGTGGGGGGGCGGGGGGTGCCAATAAAACAATTCACAAATGGGATTTATCTCCCTTTTTTTTTTTTTTTTTTCTTTTTACCCCTGGTGAAGTCAGAACCTGGAATGACCAGAAAGGAACAGGACAGACTTCTTCCAACAGAGTTCCCATATCYGATACTGTCCTTCAAAAAGTCACTGACTGCTCACAAGTCGTTTGAGATTACACGATGGCCTTCAGAGAGGGGTTAAAAGTCACCTCGTTAACTCTAAGCTGTGTTACTGGAGAGTCCTTTGACCCTCCACCCGAGCCCTGCCCTGACCGCAGACAGGGTCTGGACTCTGCACTGAACACACATGGCGGACACCCAGCCCCACTGAGGCTGCTCCAAACACAGCCCCGGCTCTGAAGGCACCTCAAAGAGAACCCGAATACAGGGAACGTCACTGGACACCTTCCTTAGATAACTGCTTTGCAGATGAGTCCTGTTACTTTCAAACGCACACCTTCGGCACCTTCCTCCAGCCAGATTCTGCGGCCCAGGGGGCTGGGAAGCAGGGAGAGATCGCCAGGTGGACTCACCAGCCACCCCCACCCTCCCAGGAGAGACAAGCGGAGCAACCCCAAGGACAAGCCGAGCAACCCCAAGGACAAGCCGCACGTCAGGAACCAACATAAGAGCAACAAGACGGAGAAGTGGGTGGACGGAGGGCCGGGGGGGCCCGCCACCGCAAAGGGGGAAGGAGCCGATGCAATAGGGAGGCCGCGTGGAAAGGAGATAAAGGACAAGAACAAGAAAGCCACCTCTGCTTTTAAAGTGTCCCATCAATTCCTTCTCTCTCTCCTCCTTTTCTGTCTTGGGTTCCCAYGGCATGAGAAGCCGGCCTCACATGGAGAACACCTTTGTATCCAGTTTTTATCTCCAAGGTCCAAATGGAGGCAGGGATCAAAACAGCTCTGCTGACGGTGAGACTCAGCGCGAGCCGGGGTTTAAGACGGGGGGCCTCCTGCACAGTCCCCACGTGTCCACACGCCCCCCCCCCCCCGTGCTCCCTTCCCCAGTAAGATCTGAAGAGGGACAAGGTGGGAAGAGAGGCAAGAAGGCCACCAGCTCTTAACTCTCCGTGCAGTCGAAGAGACTCAAGAGCCTGGGCCACCTCTGGCTGGCCTGGTTTCAAGCTTCACCAAGAAACAGAATCCCATATACATCTTTCTCCTAAAATATAAAAATATATCCCCACCCCCACCAAAGACACTCTCGCATAAGAGGGTCTGTCCCTTCTGTCATCAGCCCAGGCCACTACACCCTTCACCACATCACACCCCTATTCTTAGGTTTGCAGGTTTGGTGATGCTCCATGTGTCTCAGATTGAAAAACAGACATTTATTGCCCACGCGAAGCCACCAGCAGGCTCRGGAGAGGTGGATTGGTGGGACTCCCTAAGCCTGTGACACCTGGGACATCGGTCCAGGACTCATGTCCCCGGGTGGTCATGTTCAGCAGGCCACAAGCATGGCAGCCAAGTCGGCTGGGCGGAAGGAGAGGCTCAGACGACGTCAGGGCTTGGCCCACTCCGTCTCCATTCATCCTGAGTTGGCACTCAACTCCCTCAATCTCTGCCCTGGACAAGAACAGCCTGGCAGACTGACCTCTGCAACCCTCTCCCCCAAGGCCCTGCAGCCTCTAGAGACACCAAGGGCCGAAACGGCAGGAACGGCTCCCCCCCCCCGCCTTCCTCTTGGACTTCCCGAATCTCACTCCCACAAGGACTCGCCTTGACCTTCTCCATCCTGCCTTCCGCACAAAGCAAAAACGGGGAAAGCCCTGGTGAAGCCCAGAGATGAGCGCGCCTCCAGAGGTTCTCAGGGCCACCCACAGAAAGGGCTTCCGAATGAACCAGATGAGAGTCAAGGGTTCTGGCCTGTCCTTCCCCACGGGACGGAAGGACCTCAGGGGGCTTTGTTCAGGCCAGGACAGTTCCCCGGTCACTGAGACCTCTAGCACTTCCTCCAGGACACAGAAGAAGGGTCAAGGTAGTGTTGAACTGCCCCGTCTCAGAAACCATCAGCCTGGGCTCAGCGATTTGAGGACCGTCTTTAAAAGCAGACTCGTCTGGGCTTTGAAAAGAAGTCATGTAGCTCTTGTTGGGGGGCAGCCCCACCTCAGAGGAAACCCGGATTCAAATGCTGTCACCTTGGAAGGGTTTTCCTCTTCCTTCCAAAAGCGGTTCAGACAGGAAGAGGAGCCACCCCCAGGAGGCACACGTCTGCTGCCCACCCCACCTGTGGTCCTCCTGCCTCCTGTCACCCCCAGCCAGAAACTTCCTCATTTTTTAGGAAAAAGAAATTCATCTTGCTTACAGTCCTTTCTGGAAAAGTTGAGAAAACAAAGGATCCACCAACTCGGCAGGAAACAGGACACACAGTCCAGTACAAACCAGTGCCCGGGGCAGGGCAGGTGGGAGGGACTAGTAATTCTTTGGTCTCTGGTTCGCTGCAGAATACCCTTCGYCAGTCTTGGCTCTCTCCTATTTTAGGGGAAAAAATATTTTCACTTCTTTTTTTAAAAAATAAAACGTTCCCACAAGGGGGAGAAAGTGTTTTAAGTGTTACACTTGAGCCAACAGAGTGGGAACCACCCGCTCGGGCTCRGCACCTCTCTGCCTCCCCCAAGGCCGACTGCCATCAGGCTGCCGGGCAGGGCCGGAGCAGAGCGGCTGGCGGCTCAGTCCAGGAAGCGCTGGCAGGCCTTCTTCCACCGGCAGGCCGTGCACCACTGGTCCCGGTGCTCAATGCCGTACACCTTGCGGCACTTCTTGGCCTCCCCACGGGCTTTCCTGTCAAAAGAAAAAACAAATGCAGAGTCACAGACCTGGATGGCACCAAGCAGGAAGCTGGGCAAACAGGCAGAGGCTGGAGGGTGCCCCCCAAAGGCCCGACGGGTCAGAGGCTCCGGGGTCAGAAGCCAGCCCTTCCAGTGTGTCCTCCACCCGGGATCCCCTCTGGGGACCGATCCTACTAACTACCGTTGGTTGAACTCAGGCTCCATACTATGAGGAGACGGGGAACAAAAACCAAAAACCAGCCAGGCGTGGGGGCACACRCCTATTATCCCAGTGGCTCAGGCTGAGGCAGGAGGACTGCGAGGGCAAAGCCAGCCTCAGCAACTCACTGAGGCCCTAAGCAACTCAGCAAGGCCCTAACTCTAGATAAAATGAAACAAAGGACATAGATGTAGCTCAGTGGTTAAGGACCCTTGGGTTCAATCAGTATTACCAAAAAAACAAACAAAAAAAGGCAGAGTACAGCAGCAGACATCTCACCTGGCACTGCCCTGGGCCCGGGGTGGAGAGGTGACGATCAGGTGAGACTTTGCTGCAGGTGGAGGCTGCGGCTCGCTGAAGCTGAGTGACCGGCTCCGAACCTGGGCATGAGGAATGGGGCCGTAAGGACAGGCTGTGAGCACAAGGGCATCCTCCAGGACAGGAGGCCACACTTCCCGAGCCCCTGGGTGCACTGCTGGACCCCACRGCCAGTGCCAACACGGGAGGCACAAGGCCTCCTCTGGAAGGGTGCTGCGGGTAGAGAGGCTCACAGCAGCCAAGGGTAGGTTGGGGGAGGCTGCAGCGGAGAGGATTTAGACAGAGTTCCCACACGTGGAACAAATGAGGGCRTCCTGCTGCCTCAATGGCACCTTTTAGCAACTGGATTTTGCAAAGTGTGACACCTCCCTGTGGCGCGTACTTGAGACTAGAGCCCGGCACATGTGGTGTCAACAACTTATGGTTCATTTAGTCCAGACGTAGCGACCGAAGGTGCTGGTCCACGCAGGCCTGGAGATTTCTGATCAGCCACACAGAGCTCACAGAGCCATCTTCTGACTGTCCCACATTCTCCCCGTTCCTCTCCTCTTGGCATTAAAACCCTAACAAGCACCAACACTCAGAGGCAGGGAACTGACCCCAGCCTCCCCAGTGATCTTCTGGGCAGGTACCTGGCCCCAGCTTCTGAGATGGACTCTGACCAGCTGAGGAGTACTGGGCGGGGGAGGGACGACACGTGGAGAGCTTCACAAAGTTTGGGGTCCAGAGGCCCAGTGACAACCCCCACCGTGGACTGTGTACTGAAGAGATGGCCGGCGGCCCTGCGGGTGTGTACAAGAGCCCTGGCCTTGTACCCGTGCCCCAGAGTGCTGAAGGTCACTCACCGGAGAGAGTGGGGAGGCAGCGGCAGGAGCAGCAGCCCAGCTGATGCTGGTGTAGATGTGGGGAGAGACGGGGATCTGGAAGGATGGCAGAGCCTGTGAGGACAAGGACTTGTCAACTGGGGTTCCAGCTCAGAAAGTCCCCGGTCTGCCCAGCGTGCCTGTCACGTTCCACAGCAGAAAGTGCGCCTCTGCCCACGTGAGATGACTGGGAAGGTGTCYTGGGGCACAGCAGAGGGGTCCTCCCCGGAGCAAGCTCAGAGCACCCAGCTCTTCCAAGCAGTATCCTTGGTACCAGGCTCCAGCCTTGCTTTGGAGCCCTCGTCTCAGAGCTGGTTACCTGCCAGGTGGGTGACTCAATCCCGCAGGGCACTAACTTCTCGGTTAGATCACCTACCAAGAATATGCCACCGGCAGTTGCCAAGAAAAGTCTAAAACATCTGAGTGTGGGAGGAACTGGTGGAATGTAACACCGAGTCACCAGGTAACTATGTGGTCAGGGATGTTCGGTTTAGAGACCCTTRTAAAAATACCAGACACACTGTCCAGGCACCACAGGGTCAGCTAGAGCTGGACACTGGCCAAAGGTGAAATAGCAAAGTGGCTACTCGCTCAATGAGAAGAAGAACCAGTGTAAATTTTTTTTTAAAGTTTTCTGATCGGAAGAACTACTTTTTAATTACTAACTCGCAAATTGGTCCAGAGTCTAAAAAGACCAAGCTGTGGGCACAGAAAGATTTTTAAACCAGCACACAGGAACCTGCATACATACCTACTGTGTGCAGGAAGATCATCCTAAAGTCACCTCCCTGTGACAACTTTCCTACCTGCTTCAGCATAACAGTGTGATCCCTCCTCTATACACAATGACTTCTTTTGCCTCCAGTAAACAGTACTGGCCTCCTTATTATAATTAGCCAGGTTCCACACATTTCCTCACCAGCTATAGCACACACTCCACAGGGTGGGGACTGTGTCTGATTCTTTCTAAAGGCTGACTCAGCCCAATGTTTGACACACAGCAGGTATTCAAAATAGGGTTGTTTGATTGACATAACTGTAGAAATCAAAGATCTACCCCCCAAGAAGTCCAAAGACACTACTGCATCACCTTGTAAACCAGAGATGTGGGACTGCGGATGTGGCTCAGTGGTAGAGCACTTGCCTAGCATGTGCAAGGCCCTGGGTTCAATCCCCAATACCAAAAAAAAAAATAAATAAATAAACCAGCAATGGGAGGACACCCCAGCCCAAATCCATCAGCCTGGTCACGCAGAGATTCAGCTGGGTTCCTCAGAACCACTCCTGACAATGACTGATGGGAGAGGTCTAGGAATCCCCACTTTTACTAACAGTGAGGTCAGATTTGTTTCCTTTTTTGTAGAAGATTAGCAATGTGGTCCAAGTGCTCCGTCTTCAATCAGGGGGGTCAGGGGCCTGTGATTCGGCTGGCCAGTGACTGGCTGGGACCCAAGGCTGAACCCCTGTGAGCCGCCGCTCCATACCTGGTATGCATGGTCAGCCTGAATGTGCCAGAAGGAGCCAGGAGCTGACTTGCTGAGAGCACCCGAGGGCAGAGGAGACTCCAGACCAGAGTGTTCCGGGCCAGAGGTCTGGGCTTTGGACAGAGGCAGTGGAAGAGTGGCAAGGGATGGGCTGGTCACTCGAGGGGTGGGAGCTGGCTCAGCGGTGGGAGTCCCAGGGGCAGAGGGGACTGCCGCAGCCACAGCAGACTCCTCCTTCATCTGCACCTCTGTGTAGTAGAAATCCTCCTCCCGCTTGAACTGGTCAGAGTCCACRGTGTCCCTGTGCAGAAGGAGACGGGGTCATCATCGGGGACATGCAGCCCTCCTTCGCAGCCAGCGGAAACCAAGGTGTAAGAGGGAAGCCACTGCCTGGGGCTACCCAGCAAGTCGGAGAGGGAGCCCAAGAGAATGCCCAGACACCCTGTTCCCAACAAGTGTCACCAGGGACTACGTGTTCACACATCAGCAGAAACTGTTTTTCCRGGCACAAAGGCTCACCCTCACAGAGCACGTACGCACACCCACTCCGAGCGCTGCCCGCAGCACACTCCCTAACACTGAGTCAGTTCCTGCCAGGGCAGTCACTCGGCTGGCTCTGCACAGAGTCAAGGTCCTGGGGCCACCTCAGTGCTGATAGAGACTCAACTCCCAGGGGGAAGCAGGTACAGCATTGACCACTCCAAGTCTTGGCTACAGGGTCCATCAGTGAATGGACCAAATTACCCTATTTCTACCCAGAACTAAAACATCTTGCTTCCTACATGGGGCATGAGACAGATCCGTAAGGCAGGCAGGGCTCGGTTCCACAAATAGCATGGACATTCACCAGGAAGTGAGGGACTGTCCTCCCCAACAAGGACATCATCCTGACAGCAGCCAGGGCTCAGTACAGGGGTTCCAGCAAGTCATTTCCTCCAAAGCACCTGGGCTCTGGGTCTTGGGGAAGTTTCCGGGTGGAGGGACACCTGAATGGCACCATAGGCAAGAGGCCCTGAGTTCCGTACCTACCCCAGGTGGAGGGCTTTGACGTGTCGCTTGATGCCCACGATCGAGCGCAGAACTTTGCCACAGTTGGGCCACAGGCACTTGTACATCACCTTCACAGAGTTCTAGGGGAAAAAGGAAGTYTGGGTACCTGGCACACTTCCCCACCACCCCCTCGTTCATCCTCACCCCGTGGGGCCCTCTGCTGCGTGGCCCTCTGTAGGAGGACAGGGAAGAAGGCAGGGACTGGGGTAGAGGCTAAAAGGAAAAAGTGGTATCCAAGTGAAGGAGCCGGTCCCAGGAACACCACAAATTAGCAGAYGCAGCAAAGGAGAACTGTAGAGGGGGGAGTGGTGACCATCTGGGGCCTGTGGGTCCCTGCTGCTCCAGAGCTGGCCCTTCCTGCTCGCCAGACACCTACCTTCCTTTTGCGTGGAGCTGGTTCATCCAACAGGAAAGAGTCAGGATCGGTCTCAAAGCCATGATCAGTTTGGGGAGAACCAAAGGCATCCCCCAAATACTTGGGGCTGGCCTGGGGGTGCGGCGGCGAAGGGGTGGAGATGCCGCTGCTCCCGCTCCAGTGCCCGCTGGTGGTGCTGCTGCCACTGTCTGACACATCGCCGCTCTCCTTCCACGGGTCACCCGAGACCACACGGGAGGCTGGCCAGATGAAAGAAGATGAGAGAGGACGCTCAGGGCTTGTTCCCAGGCACAAAGAAAAAACAAATCAAAACAGAAAGTCCTTTTCAGGCCTGCAGCAAAAGTTAGGGAGCCGGTCCATTCACTGCAGCAATTTCTACTGGTAGAACTGGTCTACCCTGTTGGACACTTTCTGCCACAGCCACATCGGTCATCCCTGACCAGCAGATGCACACTGTAACTTCCTTTTGTGCAAGATTAATAATAATTCACTGTATATGCTAAAAAGCAGGAGGGGGGGCCTCTCCTGCCTCCAGCCTGGCTGAGGAACACAAGTCCAGGAAGATCATCCTAAATGTCACCTCCCTGAGACAACAGGGGAGAYGATGCATGGCTGAGGAGCACGGGGTGGGGGTGGGGGTGCACGAGAGGCATCTGTTTTGCTCTAGTCCTGAAAAATGCCTTCCAATCAGGTAATCTATCAGGGAGAGGAGGGCAGGGAGCAGAATACTACATCTAGGATGACCAGCACTAGGGACAAAGGGGTCAGCCAGCAACAAGCTCTTTCTCAGAAGTTTTTCTAAGGAAGCGATACCAGATAAATATTCTATACCATGAGAACAAAGTACTCCTTTGCAAATGCATTGCAGTGACAGTTTACAAGTGAACTTTTAAGAAATACTTATGGGCTGGAGATGTAGCTTAGTGGCAGAGCACATGTCTAGCATCCACAAGACCCTGGGTTCAATCCCTAGTACCGTAGGAAAAAAGAAAAAGAAAAATACTCACAATCCCCTGTGTATACACACTCAGAGCACCATCCTAACAATACATAGACCAAAGGATGCAGGTGGTTTTTGTGCAAACAGTACTCATGATTAATGCAGTTTTTTTGGGGGGGTTTGGGTTGTTGTGTGTACCTCACTTTACAAACTTCAAATAATTAATTGCCAAGGAAGACTTACTTACTTTTATAAGTTCAATTATAAGATCAGAAGTATGTTTGACAGGGTTGGGGTTGTGGCTCAGTGGTAGAACGCTCGCCTAGCACGTGTGAGGCCCTGGGTTCGATCCTCAGTACCACATAAAAATAAATAAAGATATTGTGACCAACTAAAAAATAAACATTTAAAAAAATAAATATGTTTGAATGGAAATCTTTAAAAGACAATGAAAAGTTTTGTCAAAAAGGGACTGAAGCTAACAGGATTCAGGCAGGTGATTGGTGATATGCACGTGGGAGGATGAGTGTGTGTGAGTGCATACACACACTTCTGATGGGAGTTGGAGTCAGTAGTTTTCTTTTCCTTCCGGGCATTTTCCTGGATCTGTTGATCCCACCTCCCAGATCTCCCAGTGWTATGCTTTAGATGTGAGGTGTCCCCTGAAAGCTGACATGTGAGACAATGCAAGAAGGTTTGGAGGAGAAATGATTGGGTGACAGCTTTAGCCTAATCAGTGTGAATTGGCAGGGTGTGGGTGGAGGAGGTGGGCATTGGGGCGTGGCTTTGGTATATATATATATTTGTATCTGGCAAGTGGAGTCGCTCTCTCTCTGCGTCTTGATCACCACGACATGAGCTGCTCCCTCTGCCACACACTCCACCATGATGTTCAGCTCATCTTGAGCCCCATAGAAATGGAGCCAGCCTTCTRTGGGCTAAGACCTCTGAATTCGTGAGCCCTCACATAAACTTTTCCTCCGTTATACTTGTTCTAGTCAGAACCTTTAGTCACAGCAGTGAAAAAGCTGACTAAAACACCCAGATTTGCAGGACTTCCTAAAAACTAATTGACTTCCCTCCTCTGGGTTTTGCTCATCAAGCAGACATGCACTACTGAGCTTCACCTCTAGGTGTCCTCAGAGTGCAGAGACACCTTCCAACAGGCTTTGGGTGGAAAAAAAACCAATTTGTCCTTCATATTCACTTCCTATCTAGGGAGACTAAATAAGAGAAACACATGTAATGGGCACTTTCCTACTGGTACATGCTTAGAGCTAACTCTACATTCCCCTAAGTTTTAAGTAGCTTGCTATTCAGTTAGGTCACATAGATGAAAAAGTCCTTCCCTGGGTGTAAGGTAGGCCAGCTCTATAACAAATTTCCAAGAAAACTTCAGATTCCCTACTGATCTTGTCAAAAAACTGATGCAATCTTTCTTCCCCTCGTATCACTGAGAAAGTATTCTGAGGTTGCAGCCAGAATTTTGTTTTAATTTGTAAGTCTGAAGTCATACCATTGGTTTTTATGAAGCAATGAGATTTAGCTGAGACTTTAGCTCACTGATTCCTGGTCCTTGACCTGTAGGCCCACACTAATTTGCAAGGCTGAATTAGGCACTTGGAAAAGCAGCATGAATTTTCTTGAGGCCATGAGGGGACTGTTTAGCGTATTTCTACCTCTGTGAATGAAATATTCCTCTACTGGCCTTGTTCAGGCCCCCATCAAAGTGCCACACTCACTCACTGCCACAGCAGAACTTACTCCAGTGGCCAGTTGGCTCAGTGCTGAGCTCAATCATCTCCACAGTGCACCAGGAAGCTTCTGCCAGATGAGGAAACTGAGGGAAAAGGACAGAAGCTTCTGACTCAGTGGCACTCAGGCAGTCTGAAGGGCCTCCGGAAATCCTACTGCCAAGCCACTGTGACCAGCTACTCAGAGCACAGGTGTCAGTCATCAGCCTCTGCATGCCCAGACCCTTCCGCCTCTGTTTGCTCACCAGAGAAGTTGGCCTCGGCCCCAGGAGGACTCTGCACAACCGGGCTGCAGGACAGCGATGTCAACACCATGGCCGCCATCATCTCGTCCATTTCCACCGCATCCGACTTCCTAGATTCAAATGGGTAGGTGGGAAAGTTTACTTCCTGGGCCAGCTGGTCTGCCGTGCCTGGGGAAAGAGATGCCACTTCCGGCTATCCTCATGGGATCGTCTTACACTTCTGCCCTGTCCCCACAGAGCCCCTATCCAATCAGCCAGTGTGTGCTCCAGAAACAGCAAGGTCTTTCCCCCCTCTTCATGAAAAATGCTCCTTCTGAAAGATGTTTACAATATCAGCCCCAGTATGACAGGGTCCTCTGTTTCAACCGGGCTGACGCCCTGGGGCAGCCCCGTGCTCCCCTGACTTGGCTTTTAACTGCACGGCCTCACATGCAGCATTTTATTTGGGAAAAGAGAGAAGACACACAAAAAAAAGACACAGCAAAGTTGGAAATGCAAGATGCCCACYGGAATCCAAAAAGCATGAAAAGTACCTCTTTTCCTATTCTCACCCTTAAATTTAGAGGGGAACATTACACAAATCRATATCTTCCTCCTCTCCTCCAAAACAAACAAGGCATTCTGTTAGTTTCTGAAGGTCAACGAAACCTCCTACATTAGCCAATGAGTAAACAGACCARAAACACAAGAAAAATCTGGTGCAAATCTCCACGCTTTATACAGCAAAGTTCCACAAAGTTTTACATGTGATTTTAACAATTCATATTCAGTTATATTGTTCAAAAGAAAAATTAGGACTATCTGTAAGTTCATGCTAAGTATTAGGAAAAGTTAGTCAGAAATCAACATCTAGGAGGTCTATTTCAAAGGACTGTATGAATTCATTCTTCACAATTCAGGTCTGTTAAACTAGGCAACTGGGTTTGAAGCAGCTAAACCAAGACCCACAATGTGTTAAACGTGTTTATTATATGCTCTTTGAATTTTCAAATTTCCACAGAATAAAAAAATAATTTATTTGCTGGTTTTCCACTGGAAATACTGTGGCTCTGGTCTCAAAACACCGCATCTCCCATCAATGGCACTAGCACCCACAGACAGAGAAGGAGAGGTGGCTCAGGGCTTAAGTGCTTGCACATCTTGTATATAAAACAGATTTTCTTTTTAAAACTTTTAGGGGGGCTATGGTTGGTTTGACATTTTAAATAGTTTTCAGGATCAAAAGAAGGATATTATTTCTTGACCTGTGACACATAAGAATTCTATTAAGTCTGAGCATCCATAAATGAAGTTTCACAGGAGCAGAGCTGAGCCTGCTGACTTCACTCATCATCTGTGGCTGCTGGGACGCAACCACGGGGGGTGCTAAGCTGCAGTGACTGGCCCACGAAGCCCCAATTATTTACTGTTTGCCCTTTCAAACCTGTCTGCTGACTCTTGATCTGAGCCATTTCTTCCTGTCTCTGCTCATGAAAAACTATGAACTGGGTTTGCCTTACGTGCGGCGGGGGGGATGAGAAGCCCTTTGCTAAAGTAAAGATATGTCACCCCTAATAATGTTATGGGCAAGAAAAGACGCCTTCCTCCAAAGGATGCCTGCTCTCTGTATTCCCTCTGTCCCCACCATCCCCCCACCTCCAGGCAGCCCCGCTCACACCCCTCCCTGCCCACACGAACCTCTTTGGGACATCAATGTTCCTGGAGACAGGTCTGTAAGCCATTGCCTGGGCCCCATGCTCTGGAGGTGGCACCTGGGGCATCACGCCCTGCAGCTCCGCCAGCCATATTTCCTCCGCCCTGCAGCAGATCTGTAACTTCTGGTCCAACAGCCAGACCGTCACCTTGTCCTCTGCCCAGCTGTGCTGCTCCACCAGGCCTGTACACTCCTGACCGCCGTACCACACACAGACCTGCAGGGAACAACAGCCGGAAGTCAGCACACAGCAGTTCTCACCTCAAAGCTCTCGGGTGCCCGGGTCCCGGGAGTCGGGGTCTGCTCGCCAGAGACTGCGCTCTCTGACTCACTTATCCTTAACTCATGGGTGTTTTGGTCTGAACGTGATGGAAACCTAATCTCCAGTGCAACAGTGTGAGGGGAGGGACCTATCAGGAGATGATTGGGCCATGAGGACTCTGCCCTCCTGGATGGATTAATGCCACCACCATGGGGGTGGGTTAGATATGTCACCAGTGGGCCAGGTTGTTATAAGAGCAACTTCAGCCCCCTGTTACTATCTCTCCCTTGTTGCCCTCTCCTGCCCCTCCACCTTCCACCGTGGGATGATGCAGCAGGAAGGTCCTCTCCAGATCCACAAACCAAATACACTATGGTACATAATTACCCAGTCACAGGTGTTCTGTTATTACAGCGGAAACCAGACTAAGAGCAGATGTTCCCAGGCACCTGCTGCCCACCCGAGTACCCAGACTAGCCACATTGGATCAGTTCTTCCCCCAAAGAGGTTCCTTATTCACTCTCTAGACTGGAAGACAGTGAACATGTCAGCAGCTGAGATTTCTCTGAATCTGGAATCTGTACCCATCTTCCTGATCTCTTGCCCTGCTTATCTCTTGAAATCCTGCCTATCTGCTGGCACCCACCAAATGCTCCTGCCCAGAATTTCTCATACCCTGCATTCTTCTCTTCAGAGAATTCTCAGTCTCCCTGAGGATAAGCCAGAAAGGGGTAGAGGTAGGCTGACCTCTCTCAAGGGACACTTGGAGTTGGAGGTCACTTTATCTCATGGGAAGAGAGGCCTGGGGGGCACTTCTGTCTCGTGGGGAGACAGAAGCAGTCTCCACGGGCCCTTGAAAAGATGAGGACAGAGAACCCCAGGCATCTAGATGTAAGGATAATAACAGGCCGAGGTGATACTGGGTCCTGCCCCAGGGGAGGGGACACTGGAAATTCACATTAAACTCCGACTATACAAACCTCTTCATCTCCTAAAATACCCAAAACCTAATCTTCTCTGACTTTACAATCTGAGGTCCTTTCCCTTCTTCTGCAAAGCTGCAAATGGAGGCAAATTAAGAGACACTGAGCTAAGCCCACACTTCAGACTGAGGTGCGGAACAGCCCAGAATGTCTGGCCACCTTCTGCTCCAAACAACAGCCGAGGARGAGCCTGGAGTCCGAAATGAGGCAAGCTCTCGCTCCAATTCCAGAGATGGAGAAAAAGGTCTGCACTCACACTAGTGGCTAGAGAGTTTCTGGCCTGTCACCTGGGGTGACCTCAGCCTGTCAGCCACAAGGTCTAGGAGATGGGACACCTAGCCACACTGGGATCAACCTACCTTCTGTCCAGGCTGAAAGGCCACTTGCTGAAGGCCAGTGGTGCCCAGAGCCTTGAGGACCTCCTTGGGCTGCTCCTGGCACGGAGGGTCCTTGGAGGCGAGGAAGGGCTGGGGAGCAGCCCCCTCCGGAACCTCTGCCTGTGGCTCCAAGGGCAAGCTGGCCCCTGATGGCCCATCGGAGGCACTGGGTCCCAACACCCGGGCTCCCAGGAGAGACCGCTTACCAAGGCGGCGAGACAGCACACTGGCCATGCTGCTGCGTCTCCTGGGGAGGCAAAGGTGACAGTGAGTCAGTCTTCTGTCACCATCTACAGGAATCAGAAGGTCACACAGAGCCCTGCACATGGAATGACAGGCACCAGTGAGTGTCCATCAAAGCAGATGAAATATTTTAAAGAGACTTTTATCTTTTTACCAATTTAATTCCTGCTCCTAGCAGGGCATTTAGAAAATACTGATGAGCACAAAGAAAACCAAATCACTCAGGAACCTGCCTCCCAAAGATGTCTTGTCTAAATAGCATCCCCCTCTCTTCTAAACATGCAATTTACATACTTTTATTTCTACAAAAATAGTATCATTGTCTAGTAAACTGAGTTTTCATCTAATATGCTAGGTAAGTTTTTACTATATCATTAAATGTTATTCTATAAAATAGTCAGTGGGCTGGGTGTAGCTCAGGGGTAGAGAGCCTGCCTAGCAGACACAAAGCCCTGGGTTCAATCGCCAGCACCACAGGGAAAAAAAAAAAAAAAAAGCTACACCATATTTTCTTAGGCAGATGCACAACTGCTGATTTATAAGTCCCTTTATTATTGTCCCTGAAAGCACATCCGATGTTTTGCTGTCTAAACTGTTCCTCCTGCTGCGAGAATTGTCTGAGTACACACGTCCACGAGCTTCCTTCTGTGACATTCCTGGGTACAGTMCTGCCCAGTAAAGCACCAAGACACCTGTTGGTGACTTGCAGGTTCCCAAGGTAAACTGGCTTCAAAGCTGTGGAGAGCCTTGGAAACAAGCCAAGCTGCTCCACTCATCCTAGGAACCCTTAGCACCAGGTGACTTTCTCATGGTGACAAAGGTAACTGGTACCAGAGCTTCCAAAAGGGCTCACAGAGGGACCCCTGCCCTGCCCCCACTCCCAGGACAGGGTCTTCTGGTAGAAGAGGAAGGACCAGCACTTTGCCAACTCATGCTACCCTCCTCCACCCAGCCTCTGTGCTTCATCTCCTCCAAGGGCCCCACTCACACTGGGGTTCCAAGCCCCCTGCTCCCCCCTGTTTGTGTATTCAGTTGGTATTTTGTTGACTAGTGGGCATGCATAAGTGCATCCCAGGTGCTTTGGCAAATGTGAGACTGGGATCTTCAGGGCCCAGAACGCCCTGGGAGGCTCCTTCCACCCACTATTAGGCTAGGAGTCTCAAGAGGTGGTTCTGCTACATTCCTCCCCGTCCCCCCATCCCCCAGCCCCACTCACATAAAGAAGCCTGTCAGTGGAACTTTCTTTGAACAGTTCTATAAACCTTCTTCACTTTTCACCCAGTCCAAAAGCACCTCGGGGCTTGTTGGGGTCGGTCATCTCTCTATCTCCCAAATCCCAGCCCCTTTCCCAACTAGTCCAGCAAGTTCTGCTAGCATCTCTGCAATAACACACCATGAAGGGCAAAAATAACTTTAAAGAAGAACACGAAAGTTGCAAATATTGAGCAAAAGGGTCTGGCTGGTTTTCCCCAGAGTTTTACTAGAGGCCTCAAGGGCTGGAATCTGATAGCACAGACAACTCCATTGTGAATTCCTGAGAAGGCAAAGAACAGATCAGGAAAAGGTCAGAGTCACAGCACGCAGAGCTCCCTGATTAGRTGGCTGGTGACTTCACAGCCAATCACACTGTCTCAGAGCGCTTCACCATTGCAATAAGAAAAAAAAAAAAAAAGGTAGAAAAATGCAAGGAGTGGGGCTGGGGATGTGGCTGTAGCGCGCTCGCCTGGCATGCGTGCGGCCCGGGTTCGATCCTCAACACCACATACCAACAAAGATGTTGTGTCCGCCGAGAACTAAAAAATAAATATTAAAAAATTTAAAAAAAGAAAAATGCAAGGAGTAAATTCCTTATCACTATGGGGGAATATGAACAGCTAAGCTAAATGGATTTTAAAACTCAGTCCCCGGGGCTGGGGTGTGGCTCAGCAGTAGAGCACTTGCCTAGCACAGCGTGAGGCCCTGCGACCCATTCCTAGCCCTGCACAAAAAAAATCTCTGTTGGATTTCATTGAGCTGATGGGAGCTGGAGACATGCAATGCCACTCACAGACATCAGGTGGCAGCACCGACCCAGAGAACCAACCAACCCTTTTCTGGCAAAAATCCTGGAGGCCACCCCCATCTCCAGAGCAGGAAGTTTGGGGTTTCTACCACTGAAAATGAAGACAGGGTAGAATTTCCAAATTCCTGAGTTTTCCAGTCTTCAGACAGCGCCTGAGATGTTTGGCCAACAAACTCCGACGATGTTTTTGTAAGCCTTTTTCTTTTCTTTTTAATTTAAAGAATACTTTTCCCTTTGTCGCGAGCCTGCACTTTCCAGAGCCCGCTAGGTCTGCACCAAGCGGTGAACCTGCCCACTTCCGCCTGCTCCCGCGAGGCTCCGCTCTCCTTCTTCAGCTAGCCTTTCCCCCGATTTACACTTGAAAATACGTTTCTGCCATTGGCTCTATTTATCATACTCCTAAATCTTAATTTTCTTAAGCAGAGAAGAAGGGAACCTGCCTTCTGTAAGTGCCCTTCAAAGCACTGGCTTTCACAAGCTGCATCTCATTTAATCCTCAGAGCACTGTGAGATAAGCACTTGGTCTGATTCCTGATGAGGCAACTGAGCTGCAGAGGGGTCAGGCTGCTGAGGCCACGGGACTAGGAACCCCACAGCCTTGGGTTTGATCTCATGGCTAGCTGGTGCCCAGGGTCACAGTTTTGCCACTAATTCAGTAGATGTGGGATCTCTCAAATTAAAACATTCAATTACGTGGCTTTTCATTACATGACTTTTTTTTTTTTTTTTTCCTCCCTTGTAGTGACCCTTGAGAGAAAAGACAGTGCCTGGCCCTGCAAGTCTAGAGTTCCATTTCCCCAGCTGGGAAAACCTCCCCTCCGTTTGCATATTCACCTATTCCCCACAAAATAAAGGCCAATGCGTTGGTCTGCCCTCCTTCATCTGCCCTCCTTCATTGGCCCCAGGCACTGTGAACCATTGAGAGGCTCAGGTTTGGGATGACCTCTACATACACAGCGCACAAAGGAATAATGTGACTGACCCAAACGGAAAAACTGTAGCCAAGTTTTTGTAGCGTGGAAGTAAAACTGGGCAGTATCACCAGGCACGGCCGGATGCCTCCCATGTCATCAGCATGCTCCCTGTGCCATTATGGCCCTGGCTCTAGAGAGAAGACAATCACCAGGAGGCCAGGGGATCCCGAAGCAAACAAGAGCACCAACAAGGAGGGCTGTATGTGCGGATGGGCCCTAGGGCTCTGCTCCTGGACCACTGTCCCTGTAGCCCTGCATCCGGGTGCTGCCCTCCTTCCCACCAGGCTTCTCTGCCGCTCCAGCTGCAGCATCCTTCAAAGGTTTCTTCTCTCACCATTTCTACTCACTTGGGAGCTATCAATAGCTCAATACCAGCCAACCACTAATTAGACGTGTAGTTCTACAGCAGCCAAAAGAAACCAAGAAACCTCTATTTCAGGGAAACAATGATAATATTTCAATATACAGCCAAACACCACTTTATGGTTTTACAGTCTCGACTTACAGAATTCCTCGAAGAATTCGGCTAACTCCTGCTAAAGACCTCTCAGGACGGTTGCAAGGGGACCCAGAGCCCTCCAGAGCTTCTCATCCCTACCACTGTCACAAATAGGAGGGGTTGGCAACCCTAGAATATGTATTTTGGTCAATGTCCAAAAAGGGTTAGCCCTTGTCCGGGCTCAACAAACATATCCTGATGTGCTAATGGCCTTTAATGARGACATTTGCCACCAGTTAAGTAACTGGAACTGACAGAACAGTAAAACAAACCCTCTCTGTGGTTCGGAGTTGCAAATTGCTATTTATCATGGGACAGTTGCTGGACAACTGCATGTCTCAGCACACGTACGTGTGTACACACATTCAAATACAGGGGCTGCTCTCTCCTGCCACCCAGGGACATTGCAGCAGGCCATGACATCACCTAGCCCACACTCTAAGATACAGGTCATAAGTTAGAGTGCTTTATCACACAACTAATGGACTTTTTTTAAAGTTAAGGAGGATGAAATTTGGAATAAGACTCCTATTTGCAAAAGCTGGGGTGCTTGCTACCTCTCTAATGAATAATTTATGGGTCAAGGTGATGGATAGCAACCCTCTGCCAAGGGCTCTGTTGAAGCTCAGCTTTCTGTATATTTAAGATCTCCATTGGTTACCACTGCACAGAACAACAGTTTTTAAGTTTTTGAGTTCTTGAGTTAATATCTTATGCATCATTTTTCAACTTTTATCAGAAAGTTTTATTTTCTTTAAAATGTATAAGATTTTAACTGACGTTTTCTTTCAGTGTCATCTTCTAAACTCAACCAAAGGCCAAAATGCTGATGGCAAACCACATCTCTTGCTTTACAACAGGACTCCAGGGAGAACAGGACTCCATGGGGAACAGGATTCATGAACGATTCCTTTAGCAATTCTTAGCCACTCACTCTGTTGATAGCTGCCATGTGTACTTGCAAGCATATTTATAATTATAAGCAAATATGTTTGTGGTCCTCCTGGTTTGGAGGTTGTCACTTTCCATCATCACCATCTGCTGGTTTTCAAAGTTTGTTTGCTGCTGTTGTTGTTTCCCTTGGGATGTCTTCCCCAGAGAACATGAAAAACTACTTTGATAAGCACACATGAACTTTTCTTCACCTTGCTTTGGTTAGAAATCCCACTGAGAGCACTTCTACATGAAAACTTTTTAATCTCTGAAATCATTTGTCAGGTCCTATTATACAACTTTTTAAAATTGGTGTGGTATGTGTTTAACATTTTATAAGCCAGATGTGGAGGTACACGCCTGTAATTCCAGCTACTGGGGAGGCCAAGGCTGGAGGATCACAAGTTCAAGGCCAGTCTAGGCAATTTGGCACAACCCTGTCTCAAAATAAAAAGTAAAATGGGCTGGAGATATAGTTCAGTGGTAGAATGCTTGCCTAGCATGCATGAGACCTTGGGTTCAATTCCCAGTACCAC